TATGTATGTATGTATGTATGTATGTATGTATGTATGTATGTATGTATGTATGTATGTATGTATGTATGTATGTATGTATGTATGTATGTATGTATGTATGTATGTATGTATGTATGTATGTATGTATGTATGTATGTATGTATGTATGTATGTATGTATGTATGTATGTATGTATGTAATGTAATGTAATGTAATGTAATGTAATGTGTAATGTAATGTAATGTAATGTATGTATGTAATGTATGTATGTATGTATGTAATGTATGTATGTATGTATGTATGTATGTATGTATGTATGTATGTATGTATGTATGTATGTATGTATGTATGTATGTATGTATGTATGTATGTATGTATGTATGTATGTATGTATGTATGTATGTATGTGTATGTGTATGTATGTATGTATGTATGTATGTATGTATGTATGTATGTATGTATGTATGTATGTGTATGTATGTATGTATGTATGTATGTATGCATGTATTTCCCGCAAAAAACACGGTTTTTCCAGCGTTTTCGCAAAGAGGACGTCCAAAAACATTGAGTTTTTCCAGATTTTCGGCAAAAGGATGCAGGAAGCCCAAGCCAGCAAAAAAGCCGGCAGGGGGAATCGAGCCTGGGACCCCTGTTTTGCGACACCGGCTCCCCGAAGACTACGTTTAGTGGAACGTCATCAAATTGCCGCGCGGTACGTGGGGGACCCCCCCCCCCCAAAAACCTACGTAATAGACGTCGGGCGGGGGGGGGTTAGGGGGGGGGGTTATCCTCTATCCTCTAGTAAGTATCCGACACGCCGAGCAATGTCGGCGGATATATATGAATGTGTGTCCGACAGCTGAAATGCCTGGTGATCAATGGGAACCACAAAACATCTTTCAGTGATGCCTGAACATAGGAAATCGTTATCTGCACAGTGCAAAAGTGTAACTCGATTCATCCATGGTTGCCTACAGTGCTCCGATGAGAAGTCCCACAGCCGACGCCAGCCTAAAGGATTCAGTTAAAGATCTGTAGGCTGGCGTTTCCTTGTCAAGGCCAGGCCATTGGAATGTGGGCATGTTCACCCTCAAACGGCCATGAACACATGAAGTGAACTATGCTGAGGGGCAGTTTCACAAAAAAAAGAAGTTTTGCTGGCTGCATGATGTTGGAACTGATTTCAATGCCCCCGGATGGCTACGCGCTTTGATGTGTCGGTTGTCGGGCATGTGGCTAGGTGGCTAGGTGCGGTTTTAGCCCTTCTTCGTTCCCTGAACATGAAAGTGGAGTCCCTGTGGGGCGCGATGTTTCAGTATCCGGCGATTGGAGCAGAAGCCTCTCATCGGGGGAAGGCTCTCGCATGGGGAATGTTCAAAAGTCGTGAGAGGTTACCCTTCCCCTTCACCCCCGAAGCTTGCAACCCGATGGGGTCCCAGCTAAACAAGACCCGCTACCTCAGGAATATCTACAAATGCCCCTTGGCAGTGTACGAATGTCGCAGGATAATTTTCTTGCTGAGACTGGGCTCATTTTGTTTGGTTCCGTTTCCGGGGGTTGTCAAAGTCAGAAAATGGAGTCGGTTGTTTCAACCCACTGAACGGGGGTGACTTTGATCATGGCAAGATAGTGAGGCCAGTGAGAGGCACGACGGACTTGGATGCCGCGAAGATGCGAGCATGCCGCAAGAAAAGCCAAGTCTTATCTGTTTGATCTAGCCAGAGGCCAGTGAGGGGTTGCGCACATTGGATCATACAGTGCATTTGGGTTTGCAGCCTTCAGATCTCCAAATCGAAGATTTCTCTAACACCGCAAAGTCCCTTGACATGGCCTTTGAGAAGCAAAGTTTAGTCAAGTAACTACTCACCATGGAATCCAGAGGGGGTTCCCCAAAGGAGATTCCATTCAAAATGGCGGTTTTTGGGGTTTCATGTTTATCTGCAGGAGTGTAACTCAGTGGATACAAGCGAAAGTGCGGAGGCGTGATTCACAGGCAAGACGCTGCCATGCTCAATTATCCCAACCCAACCTGGGAGGCTCCTTTGTCAATCCACATTGCGCACAGTGACAGGTGTTGTTTGTTGTGTTCTTAACGGGGGAGCCAGTGGTGTCCCTGGTTTTCCCTTAAACCAGCTCTGGTCCCTGGTACAGAACCCTCTACGAAGCAACGCAAGGAGGCGCCCTTTGCGACTCCGTAGGTTTTGCCACTATTGGAAAGTACCCACGTGTCGCCCTGGGTTCTACTACGTGCAGCAGCTTTTTCCGGACGCAAGCGCACTTCCAAAAGGATTGAACTCTTTCAGCGCCTGGGCAAAGCGTCAAGAATATGTAGGCTCAATGACCTCCCCACGCTTTGAATGCAGGCGCATTTCCTTCTCTAAGGACTCTTTCAAAAAAGGTTGGTTTGAAGGGTACAGTCAACAAATCTGTTGGACTCTGGAACAGTCACATGAGTTAACACGATGTTGAAAGGATACTGCTTCGGACGCCAGCAAGGCTTCTTCTGCATGACAGCCACGCATGGATTTTCTTGAGTGCCCAAGCCATTGGAAATCGACACAGGTGGCCTTCTGCAGGGGGTGCATTCTGGGTGCATGAAGCAATACACTTGGCATCCCTTGGCAGCAAACACGTGCCGCAGTGACGATCTCTGAGTGTCCTGTGTCTGTCCGCGCGAGTTGTTTCTCCCAACTCGCAAACTTCTGGCAGGCTCCACAAGATCGCTGCCCTGGCATAGTTGACACATGTTTGGTCCAAGAGTTGAATTCGGGGTTGATGGGGCGGAAAAAACAACCAATGCGTGTCCATGTACGTGACAGGCTATCCACCTCGGCCCTGCAACACAGAGTTCCCGGAGGACTACGTGTGCCTCGTTGGCAAGGGGCTGGTTGTTCTGAGCATTCGGGTTTCCCGTTCTGACACTTTGTCTTAAAATAGATGGTACTGCATCAGTTGTGTAATCATTTGCACACACAATCTAATTTTCAAGCAATCACCTATGCTTTGGAGGCTCTTCGTGAGCTTTGCGACTTGTCTTGGCGAAGCAATTGCTCATCACTTTTAGGATCATGGCACGCCCACACACACACGCGCGCGCAAAGACAAACACACAGACAGACGCAGACATAGTAACACACACACACACACACACGCAAACAAGCACACACACACACACACACCCCTAGGCCACACACCCACCCGCACACGTACACGCAGAGGCACACGCGCACGCACAAGCACACACACCCACGCATGGACGAACGCACGTTTGAACACACACACACACACGCACACTCAGGCACATGCACGTGCCCACGCACGCACGCACGCACGCACTAACGCACGCACGCACGCACACGCACACGCACGCACACTCACGCACACGCACGCACCCACCCAGACACAGACACAGACACAGACACAGACACAGACACAGACATACACACACACACAGACACACACGCAGACGCACACGCAGACGCAGACGCAGACGCACACGCAGACGCACACGCACACGCACACGCACACGCACACGCCCACGCCCACGCGCACGCGCACTCGCACTCGCACTCGCACTCGCGCTCGCACTCGCACTCGCACGCTCGCGCTCGCACGCACCCACACACACACACACACACACGCACACGCACACGCACACGCACACGCACACGCACACGCACCCATGCACACACTCACACACGCAAAAAAAATAAAATCATACATGCTTGCAGGATGCGGCAGCCATTTAATACTTTACACTATACATTAACAAGGTGCAGGTATCGAGATTAAAGCGTAGTGCAGCACAAGATGCAATGTGCACGCCAGTGTCGAACATGCACAAGTTGCTCAAGTACTGGATGAAGCTCGTGCGTCAACCCGGCTTCCCACGGCCACACGGATCGCTTGAGCCAGGTGCCAGGAATCAGAAGTCCTGTGTGGCATCAGCGAGCCCCTGGAGCTGTATGCTTCGGACAAAACCTACAAGACACTCGGCTTGGTTTTTTTACGACGCGCCGATGAGCCTTGCAAACGCGCACAGTCGCATTTTCACTACTTCACAGAGAGTAGCTACTAGAGAGAGAGAGAGAGAGAGAGCGAGAGAGAGACAGACACAGAGACAGAGATCAGGTACCACCTATTGTGCTTGTGCTAGACTTACCTGCATTGTCACGTGTTTGAATGTGAGCATGTGCCTTGGGCGCGGCTCAGACAGACCGTGTTCAGAGGCCGTCAGCAAAGAAAGGGTTGCCTGGTATCGTCTCTGGTAGCCTGCAGGATCCAAGGCGGCGCAACAAGAGCATATTCTTGCACATGCATTAAGCTGCACAAATCACTCAACATACATCTACACACCTTCCTGGTGCATGAATCCAGTGCTTGTGAATAGGCCGTACGCCAAAGCAGAATCCTTCGCGCAGCGTGACACATTCAACCGGGAACCTGCTAGTGTTTTCAGAACAATTGTTCGGTCAGCCTTGTTTGCAGTGGGAATAAGCCAAGTGTTGGGTATCTATCGCAATTGGGTTTCTCAATGGAGGCCACAGGGTCTACAGCCACACCCTCCCTTGCCTGAAACGTCCGGGCAAAAAATGGGGATGTCAAATCTACGCGGACGTGACTTTACTACTGCTGCAACGGTGGCTGAGCCAACTTCTGGATCAACAGCTGCTGTTGGAATCCTTTTCTAGCTTTCCAATAAGCAAGCTGTTGCCCATTTCGTTGAGCAGCAGCTGCCAGCTCGGTCTTTTGCATGGCTTTGACCAGGGTGCGCGCGGGGTTGGCAATGACAGCGCGCGCACGGCAGGATAGCGGCCTGGCAGGTCGCAACGTCTGCAAAGCTCCTTTTCCCTCAAATAAAACAGGCAAGGTCATGTTTTGGCAAGAGGGAGCCCGCGCCCCCCCAACTCCCCACCCAAACATGCAACAGAAACAGAGACACACCCACAAATGAATCAAGGCAATATCAGTCACGTGGATCCTAGCCCAAACTTCCAGGGAAGGACCAACCTGTCTGGCGTTCAAGAAGCTGTGTTGCTTTGGAAACCGGATACTTGTGCTTAAATAAGGCAAGTCCTGGATGCGGCATGAGCAGCCACTGCCAACTTCGTCCTCTCATTCTTGTGGCGCTTTCGCCAGACAACGCGCCAGTCGTGGCTGATCCATTCACGAGAACCCATCACAGCTAGTGCGCCCTCATGTGCCATTTTGGATGTCCCCCAGCATTTCTTACCTCTTAAAAAAAACACAACTTTTCAACTTTTTGGGTAACATGGGCTATATGGCTGTAAAAGATTAACTTCCCCAGGGCTTGGAGTTCTAAGGGGTAAGATTTTGAGCAACCCGAGGGGAAGCTGAGTGCTTTCCCGAGGAAGTCCTTCGTGTGGGGGGAGCCCATCGACCCCACCGACCCCGACTCCAAGACCGTCCAGTTCTTCGGCTTCGATCCCTTCGTGGATGAGGCGGGGGGGAATGACGAGGTTCCGGAGCGACTGACGCGCAGAATCCACGAAACGCACCTGGGATGGATGAAATCCTATTAAAAGTGGGCGGGGTAGGTGAAACCACATCCACCTGATTGTGCCACTTGTTTGGGCCACAAAAACTTGACCCAAGGCTTAGCTCTACGCTTGAAGGACACTGGAAGACGCAACTTCCCATCGGTCCCGAGATTCGGAGAAGGGATCTCACTTCATGCAAAGGCTTTTCCCATTGCCGACTATAGGGGAGGTCCATTTCGAGAAACGCTTTCCGCTCGATATCTGTTTGTCGATTAACGGGAATATGATAACTGCCGTATCCGTAATATGATATATGTGTTTTCATCTTGGCCGGGGGGCAAATTTCTCGCAGATGTTCGGGGGGCTGCGTTGCAAAACGCGCTCTTCTCAAGTCTGAGATCTACGCCGCGTTTTCGGCAGACCTCCAGACGCCCTCGTTCGGTGCTAAGAGGCTTGCTTTGGGCCGCCAGGAGTTAGTTCCCTTAAGAGGTGCCACCCCCGAAACCTTTCAGCACTTCCCTTTGGAAGCAAGCGGTGCCCGGTGGTTTTGGCGCCACCCCTGTCTAACGTCCGGCGCGTCCGGCCGACGGACCCTGCGGCAGGATTTGACGCGGAAGCCTTTCCACAACTTCGAGCTGCAGCCCATGGACCTGGCCGTGCTGGACCTGGCCTTCGATCAGATCTCCCCCACCACCCTGGCGCCGTGGCGCCACAGCGGGGCTGCGGGAAAATTGAGGGGTGGGGTAGGTGGCTCGCTGGCTTTGAGTTGAAGCATTCGGAAAAAAAAGGGGGCTCCAAGAAGGGGGGGAACATCTTTACCTCCATTTCCCTGAGTTCTCCTTGAGCTACCCTCTGGCTCCTTTCGGCTGGGAAATTCAGAGGCAAACAAAAATCACTCTGGATCCTGTTGATTTCCCGGTACATTCAGGCGAAACGGGTACCCTCCAAAAAGCAAACAGCCGCAGCCATGTCAGAGCCTCGTTCTCACCCGGGTGACTCCCAGCGATCAGTGGGCATTCACTTCCCAGCCCATAGGATCTGAATCTTACTCAAGGTGCTGGACACCTGTGTGCCCTGCGCCCTGCCATCCGCACGTCATCAAGTTGTCTTGCGGAAAAGTCAGATGAAGGTTTTTGTTTGGGCCACCTTGGCTGCTGTGGGACACTGAGTTGGATCTTTCACATGACATTGTTTTGGTGTTTTCCACTCATCAAGAAATTGTTCGCACGCGAAATCGCCAGTTCGAGGCCTGTGAATTGAAAACACGGGACCTGTCATGAACCTGTGAACCTGTGTTGGCATACTTGTCGTCGGTGAAAACACGGCGCGAATTGGGGCCCCTTTGAAGTAATTCCCGTGCAGGATGATCTCACTTGTTCAGCGGCACCCACTCAAGTTCCCCCTTTTTGGTAGGTTGGTTTCCCCACAAGAATTGGTCACCCTCGGCAAGGGTGCTCGTTGTTTCTACGAGGGCCACACCGCAGCTGGGTGCTGACAATGCAAGGTCAACGCAGGCGAAGCAGGCCACTTCAACATCCACATCCACTCTACGCCCCTCAGCGCTCTGATGGGCGGGCCATGGTCGAATGTCGACTCAATCTGACAACGCTACCACTTCCACGCCGCTGCACGATATGGGAAAACATTCCTTAAAGTTTACCAGTTGCTATTAATATCCCATTTGTTCAAGCATGCTCACGCCCCGTTGTTTAAGCCATGTTTGACTTGGTGGTTCCCAGCCACCCGCTTAGGTTTTTAGGTTTTTTAGTTGGTTTAGTGGCGGTGTCCATTTAACCCACTAAAAGTTAAACTTTGAGCAGGGGATCTGTGGACAGCCCCAGCTATTGTTTGCTTAAAGCCATGCTTTGGCACGCCATGCAATTCATCAGCTTCTGCGTGGGTGGCTTTGTAAGATGACCAGATGGGCCTGTGATCAGAACTGTCGGCTTGAGAGAGGCGAGCTAAATCAGTGGCAAAGACCACATTTGACGATGTGTTTGCCTCGTTTTGGCGTTTTCATGGGCTTCATGGGCAGCGGCGCGAATGGATCCTGCCTCCTTTTTTCTGGGGGTGAACATCATGTTTTACCTACAAGTGGGCCCTTTATCACATTGATTCCAGGAGAGGGAAATGCCAGCATATACAATTCCTTGACGACAATCGGCAACTGGGGACTGACATGCCACAAAGGCTTCCCAGCCGCCTCACCCAAGTTGCAGACAACAGCAACTCGGGTGTTGAGAATGGTTCAACGTGACCCCTTTGTTCTCAACCATTGGACCATGGCTTCGGACAAATGCGTTGGAGTGCCAATGTTAGACTCGCCATGCTTGATGTTTTTTTTGCTTTTGTTTTTCTTCGTAGAAAGTAGCTTTTCCAAGTTCGGGATCCCGTGCCTGTTTGGGGCTCCCTGGAATAGACAGTGCTCTTGCCGGAACAAAACACGGGCAAAACAAAGGCGCCAACGCAACGGGCAACACATCTTGGCGAACACATCTGGGGAAATCTGTAGGAAATCATGTTTGATCTGGCCTCAATCCATCAAATTTAAGATAACTTCTTTACACAAAAGTAAGGGCAACCCGTCTCACCCAAAAAGAGGCCCTGATTCGCGTTAATGCGACTGTCTTGGAGGTTGCTTTAACGTCCAACTTTTGGGTAGGAATCTAACAGCACCTATACTGAATTAAGTACAGGGAATCTGAGAGGCAGTCTTGGCAATACTAAATTAGAATTCAGGGGGGGTGTAACATGGCTATGGGCCAAAGCCAATGGGCTCCCATTTTGGGGTAGCTGCACCACCCATTTTAGATGGGATTTTAGTGGTTGGATTGGGATGTTCACTGGGGGTACGATTTGGGATTTGACCCATGGCCACATCAAAGCAGACCCAACATTCCCAGTTTTGCTGAGGCTCCTCGATCCGAACAACGCCGAGGAGATTGACAGAGGTCATTTGCTGCCACCCTTCTTCTGGCGTTGCTTGGCCTCAGCTTGCCGTAGGCTTGCCCGAAATTGAGCCGCTTTGGGGCTATACCGGAGGAAATCTTTGGTGCATTTTGCTTGGATGTCAGGACTTTAACTTTTTGCCAACCAATGGGTTTTCCATTAAACCACTAAAAGTTAAACTTTTAGCAGGGAAGCAAGAAATGTCGAGATGTGTGGCAAAGCAAACGGGGTGCCGCATGTTGCTTTGCAGTTCCTCGGCAAATTGCACCGTTCTGCAGGTTGCCCTTCCTTTGCAGTATGGGCGGTTCTAGAAACCCTGTGATTAAATCTTTCTGCCCAGAAAAAATGGTCTTTTGCCAAAGGGTCCGTTTGAACAAGAAGTCGGCGACCAGCGACGCAGTTGTGACATGTTTTTCACTCGAGTTTTCTATTCAGTCAGCGTTAGAACCAGTGCATCGGCCTTGATCCTCGGGACCGCATGTTGCTGTTGTTGGCCTGGGTGCTATGAGAGCAGCACGAACCATGCAGGACCAGGGCACTCGCGCGCCACGGGACCTTTGGTGACAAATAGACGAACCAAAGACCCAAGTGGAACGACCGTGAGGGGAAGCCAGGGCACAGCAGCCTCTCGTTTTTCGCAAGCACGCCATCAACTGAACAGCAAGAAAGAAGGAGCATACTTAGCTGAGCTTAGCTTCTTACTACACAGAACGACTTTAGAGGGCTAGCAACTCTCCGACATGAAGGCTTCGGGATTGTCAACACGGCACTTCTCTTCAAGATCTCGCTGGGAAACTGGAATTCGGAATGTCATGGCGTCACTTGGTAGATGGGAGACAGTGCTACCATCGGTGACCCTATTGGAGGCTCATCGGCTCATCAGGCGCCTGTTTCAATCTTCATGTTGATCCAGGGCTGTCGGTTGCTTGTGCCTCGATTTTTGTTCACATCGGCTTTTCCTCTTAGCTTCGGGAATTACGATGTACATAGCTTTAGAGCTTGTGGTGGCACGGCGATTTGAGGGGCGTCATAACAATCATGACGTGGGGAGCCACTGGAACCTTTGCTTGGCTCATCCACTCCAACAAAATGGGTGGTGTTCCTTTTGGGTTTCATTTCAAGCCCTCAAGAAATGGCAGACTTATGTACAAAATGCAAAGCGGCTGCAGTTTTGTGACACGTTTCCGCGCTGGCCCGCAAGATGTTGTTGGCGCTTTTCCCCCACTGGGAGAAGCATATGTTCCTTTGAGAAGTTCATACCAGATCGCGCTGTTCAGAAGGCACCTTCGAGATGCCAAATCGGGGAGCACGACTCAGGTCCAATCAATACGGATCTCCACGTCAAGACGCAATTGAAGATTCTGGCTCTGGAGAGGCCGCGAGTGGGAAGGGTCATCCATCCCCATTGCCGATATTCACCAGTTCCGCGGATGGAAGGGTCAGGTCATTGGTGGTGTTTTTTTTTGCGAACGAGGCAACAGACCTTTGGCGGGGCTTCAGTGGGAACTAGATCATGTCCTTCTGTGATGGAGAACTGTGCTTGAGACATTTGGTGGCCACCGGGGAATTGTTAACAGCAAGCTTTGGGCTAAACATCAGCGTGCCCTTCTGGGCTTATACGCTTTGGAATCCTAGCTTTCCTTTTGTGATGCCTTTGCAAAACGCCCCTTTTCCGGGGGCCGTTAGCAGTTGCGTTTGACTCCGGGGTCATGCTCAAGCGGTCATAGCTAGGATGCTATGCGGCGCTTTTGTTGGTTCTGGCGCTGTAGGTAAAGAGGCGTTGGCATGTTTTCCCACCCATGCAGCCATGCATGTCTAATTTCAGGGAGGCCCCATGCGGCCAAGTGCCCACCCGTCCAATCCTCAAGCTTTAGGGGCTTGCCGAGGACCCAGAAAATCTCAGAAAATGTTAGAGCGCGTTTTGTTTTTTCCCTCCGCCCTTTGAGACATGTGGCATGGCATTTCTTCTTTGTTTTGTCAGCCAACCCACAATTCCAAGCGGAAGTTTCAAGATGAGACCCTCAACGCCGTGGTTTTACTTGGACGTCCCATGGTTTCCACTGGCTGCTTCCACTAGGTCCCCCAGTAGTGCCCTTTTACCCTTTTTTGGGGGAGGGTTCCCCTACCAAAAGAGACAACCGAAAAAAGGGTACCCTTATTTTAACCTCTCTACTGGAGGACCTAGTTCCATGAATTTGCGGACATCAGGTTCAACATGAGCGTGCAACTGGACCTTCTGCATGGCGGCCATGTGCAGAACCTGGACACCTTCAATCAGCCCTCCGGCATGTGAGTCCAAGCAAATGACCCTGGTGGGCATAGTTTAAAGGGAATCTATGACTGGAAACACTGTTTTGTTCCAGGATTTTAAGCACATGGATGCTTACAGGTGATGAACAAGGCTAGACTGGGTCACTAAAAAGGCGTGGCTAGCATATCTACAGGGGCATGGGCTCGTTGGGTTGGCTTTAACCAACCCAATATTCATCACCCATTCATCGTCCGGACACTCCAGGCCAGATTCAGAAAGGCCGAATGTTCAGCTGGAATCCAGGTCGGACAACTTTAAAGTGAAGAGTGATCATTCCTCTTAAGTCGGTTGGCACAACAGGATCCAGCGGCCATTTTTGCACATGCAATTGGGAAGCCCAATTCCCGCAAGCCAAGCACATTCGTTGTTTATTTGGACATGGGGCTTTAGGTTGCGACTTTCTGTGCGGCGGGAGTTCCGAGCAAGGACGCAATGGGGACATTCTGGCGCTTGGCAACCATGCCAAACAGGCGCTTGCAGGACCCCATCCCAAGTTGTCCTGAGTTACAAGGTTCCCTCGCGTTATGATGCTTTGGACATGATGGGGAAACTTCGGGATGTCCTAGAGTAAGTTTGCCATGGTCTCGTGCGGGGTCCAGCAAGTTTAGTACCATGTAGTGCGTACATGGCACTTTTCTTGCACGTTGGATGGCAAAGAACTCTCACTATCATGGCTCCGGGGTACCTCGACTCACTCGCAGTCAGCCGCGATGCATGTCAGACGGCATAGGGTTGGAGCCTCCTAACGCACTTGGACCAGTTAGCTGCACGGCCCTTCCTCTCAGGATCTCTCGGGTGTGTTTGTTCAAAGGTGCTGTTCTGCATACAATTCAACCAGCAATCGGGAACTATTGTTTTCCATGCACCCACCCTGGAGCCTGTTCACAATGATCGTTCACGCTTCGTCTTGCCTTGCGCTCAACTTAGGGCATGCACCCGGGAATATGACCAAGCTATTCGTTTATGGTGGTATTGTTGAGTCTCGTTCATGGTCAAAGTTGTAAGTTTTTTTTGTTGGGGGTGTGCATTCAGGTTGAAGACCTCAGAGTCTGCACATTGCTTTCCGCCTTTGAAGATCTGAACCTCTGCACTCGACCCAGGGTTTTGGACATCCACCGCTTCTCGCCCACCCGCGCCATTTGGGGCACCCGGTACTTCTTCTGCTCGGTGATCTCCAAGGCGCGGATCGGAACGCGAAAACCTGCGATCGGTGCGATAGGGCGCCATTTCTGAAATGGAATGATCCCAGGATTTGTTTCACCGAGAAAAAAAAGGAAACCACCAGTTGGATGGTTTTTGTTGGTTATTATAGGTGATTCACTCCTTTCCTTGCTGAGCACCAGCAAGTTAACAAGTTTCTGTGTTGTCCTCCGATCAGAAGCAAACAGGGCATCTATCCCTAGGTTTGTTTTATGCATTTTTCGCTGAAACCTTTGAACTGTCGCCAGGAGCGGCTGCTGAACGGTGCCTATGAGCTGCCCTACAACATGCCTCCGGGCTTGGCGGGCCAACTAGGCACGGCCTCGACTCGACAGGGGGGTTTCGGGGGTGTCTACCCCGAAAATCAACGGAGCTTCTTCCACTGTTGACATGGCGCGGTAGCTCAGGCGAGTTCAAGTCCTTGGGAGTCCGGGCAAGCTATATTTATTGTCTTGGCAGGTAATCCGGGCTTCGCCATCGCCCTCACCAAGCCACGCGGCAGATTGCAGGGCTCGAGATGTGTGTGTGTGTGTGTCTGCATTCGCGCGTGCGTGGGTCCCATGTGTTCGGGAGTGTGACGGCGGATTGCCTAAGTTGAAGGCAAGTAGGAAGCTGCTATGATGTGTTTTCTCGGTGATGTCATGTATTTAATTTTATGCATGTTCATGTGTACATCGCATAGTTCCCGAGTAAGGGGTTTGTCAAACTTAAAGTAAATCAACTGCATTGGCACGTGGAAGAAGCCCAAGGTTTTTTTGGGGCCATCGTTTTCTTGGACACCGCTTGTTGGGTTTGACTGGACATCCCTCACCTTGATGCACCCAGAGCTTAAAGTGAGATTCCCACTGCCAGGACACCAAACTCCAACATGAAACCCGGCACAAGTCCTTAAGCCCTGCCAATTTTTCCAGACCCTGGCAATCCATCAGTTTCATGTGATTAATGGCATATCTCTAAATGGCTGGTCCCGCCTGAGCTGGATTTTTGTGCTACCTCAAGCCACAGCAATTTGGTGCAGGACCGCCCACTTGCCTGCTTGGATACGCATTTCTGGAATTCCGAAGGTTGTGGCCATGACGTTTCCGCAAGCAACGACGTTTCCGTGACCCCGGCTATGGGAAATGCCTCAATGATGCGGGCGAAGACCAAAAAAAACAACACTAAAGTGCGAACATGGTCGTCAAAGAAGTTGTCCAGAATGGCTATGGGCTCAATTGTGTTTTTTGTTGTGCAAAACACGCAAATTGTGTAGGTGTCTTGGCCGGATGTCTGGCCAGATTAGGCGACATCCAAGGCCTTCTTCCATTTGCTGAAACGAATATATGTATTTTTCCCCTCTTGGTTTGAAAGAGAATCGATTTCACTACTGGGAACATAGTTTCGTGGCCGGACGTCCCGGATGTCTGGCGCCCACCGAACTTGTTCTTGAGACTCCGCCGGTTTTGGCTGCAGCGGAGTTTGGGGCTCAAGAGCCATGTACACCCAGCGGCTGCTGGTTGCGGCGGCCTGCGGCTCCGCTTGGGCACTGCCGCGGCGCCGGGAGGCGCACCGACTTCGCGCAAGCCGAAATCGGTGGTTGGCATGAGTTGAAATGAACCCAGGAATGGGTCCTCTAGGAAACCACCAGTTGGATGATTTTTCTTAGGGGTCATTCCATTTCTCATTCCCTGCTGAGCACCAGCAAGTTCTGTGTCCCAAGTGTTTGAAGGGCAACACGTTTTCAGGGGGCCTGGATGCAGTTCCCTTACAGGATGTTCTCTTATTAGGTCGCAAGCGCAGAACAACTCTTTAGCCCTCCTGTTTCCCAACGGCGCACCCTTCGCATATCGTGCGTTGAGGTAAAGAACGGAGGCGTTGACCCCAGGGAGCGCATAAATGGAGTGTCTCAAATCACCGCAAATGGACTTTACCTCATAATGTGATACCTTGGCTTGGGGTTGCCTTTAAGGATAATCAATATACAGCCACATGATTTGCCTGCCTCGCATTTGCTTTCTTCTATCCTTTGGCTACAAGCAGACCTTGTGTAATCGTGACGCATTTTTTTAACGCTCAGGTCTTCATGTGCATTTCTGCTCATTTCTGCCCAGTTGACGTACGCACCTGCTGGCAGACGCTTTCCTTTTGCTTTCGCTTGTTTGTTTGGATTGGCAGCGAATCAGCTGCTCCCACTGTTTTCAGTCAACATAGTGCAAGTACTTTGTGCTCACTGGTTTCTGCTTTCACTTTCCCTCGCTTACCAGTTCAGTGTCTATGTTGGAAAAGGACCCCAAAAGGACCCCAAAACAACCCCAAGGTCCCTAAGAGTTCCTTTCCCTTCACAGGATTCACTGCACTGCGAGCAGAGCGGCGTTTGCTTCAAGCAGTTGGAGCGCCTTTGGCAGACGATTGAGGAGCGCAAGGCGGGGACAGTTGAAATCCCCGCTCCCAAAACATATCCTAGTTGTTTTTTCTCTGTCCGGGGTGTCAGGTGTCCCGCAATTGGTGGTTTGGATGGGTGCTTGGATTTGAACCCCCGGTTCCTGCATAGGGCACGTGGGGAACCAGCCCTAACCTCCAAACCACCAATCCAACTCACCCATTGGCTCGCCTATTTGGGACAAGATGAGGGTATGCACTCAGCCTCTGACCAAAAACCATGGGGAAACTTGAAAACCAAAGAAAAAGCACAATTATTTTGGTGATGGTTTGCTCCACCTTGGGGCCAGTAGCTTAGGGAGATGCTCCACCATCCCGTGGCCAAAACGACGCTGAGGGAGGGAATGTTCACGTTGCTGGCCCCCGGATGTTAGGTGCTGACTAAGGAGGCTGAACAACGTCCTTTTCTGTGGGGCGGGGGAGAAACCAAAAACTGGGGTCCTGTCAAGGCTTGTTGCGCCACTGATGTGTTTGTGCTTGGGAATGGTCAGCCTTAGCTGGTGGTTTGGATTGGTGGCTTGGGGACTTGAACCTCTGCTTGTTGTAGAGGATAAACTGGAAACCACGAATCCAAGCCACCAATTCGCGGGAAGCCGCCAGCCCCACCCCGCACCCCACTTTCGGCCGCCTCTGGGCACCGCAGGTGGCCAAAGATCTGAAGAGTTCCTGGACGGCGAGGCTTTTGGCCAAAGGCGAAGCGAGTGTTGGGCACTTTCAGATGCTTGCTCGGCGACGGAATTATGGGAAGCACTGGGTTCCCTTTCACCCATTTTGAAATCATGCAACCAATAGGAAGCTCATTCATGGGCGCACTGTTGTTTGAGCCCACGAATGTAGACAACCTGGTGAAGCATGCTTGGAACACGCAGGGGGTGTTCAAACCCACTAATCTCAGAGAAAAACACGCAGCATGTTTTACTGGAGGAGTTGAAGACACTTACTGTAGTGTTTTTTGCTTCACATGTCCAACCGTTATCGTCGTTACAGCACATCTGAGAGCGCTTTCGAGCAAGAAGCCAGCATGCAATGGAAGGTACAGTGCATCACCTGTCTTTGGACCATGGGTCATTGACATTACTGGGTTGGTTCATGATGATACAGGTCGCTGAGTGCAAGTTGATCAAGTGTGTAATAGTTCAAGCGGAATGGGGGTTACTAAGTTGTGTGGGGCTTTTCGAAACGCCTCGTCACAGCGCCAAAGTCAAGAGCCGGCACACGCAAGCCAGGTGAGTTATCCTGCATCCACCGCCTTCAAGGGGACTTGCACTATCGCAATTTCCCTCCGAAAGTGAGCAGCCTGCCGGGGTTGGCTGGGGAAGCCACTTGCCAGCCATCCGTAACGAATGGTTGATACTTCGGCAGGCAAGAAGCCAGGACATACAGGAAATCAGGCAACAATTTGGCATCCAGATGTATGCAACTGCTATGTCTCTTTCATAGAATTTCCCTTTGCCTCTGAATCCCCCCCCCCCGTCCGAATCAGAGGCGTGTTGCCAAGTTGCGCGGCTTGTTCGGGAGAGCGAGCGCCAGGCACGGAGAAGTGCGCGCAGAAGGTCGGGGAGGAGGCAACCGAGGTGTGCATTGAGGCAGCGGCCCAGAGGAGTGATGGGGTGGTCAAGGAGTCCGCCGACCTCATCTTTCATTTGCGACCCGGTGGCAGAAAATCAAGGTCCAAAAACAGCTGCCCACTTGCTTAGGACGAGGTTTTAGTCTTATTTTCTCGTGTTGGTGTTAAAAAGAGAAGCTGCCACTGGAAATATTATGATTTGCCCCCTGAGCAAATCGAGGTAGGGTTGCTTCCGGTCCATTTGCGTTTGTGCTTCGCGTTGTGTTCAGCGCTTGGTTGCCTTCCACTGGGTTCGCCCTTGCTGCGTCCCAAATCGACAGAGCGACTCGCTGGTCGCGCGAGATCCGGCTGAAGTGTGCAAGCGTCATTTGGCATTGAACGAGTTTCAAGCTCGCATCCTTTCGAAGAAATGCTCTCGAAGAGGAAGGGGAGTATATGATAGTGCGAGAGGAAAGCATTACAAGGATACAACCAGTGTTGTTCGAGCTAATTCGGACTTGGAACCGCCCGTGAACTGATTTTTTTTGGGGGTGCATTTGCGGGGTCTTTGAGGAAAAACAATGCAACCCACGATTGTGCAAACGCACATTGGTTCAGCTGCCTTGGTAATGTTGACCCCATTCCCCACTAAACCCCCATGGGTTGATTAATCCGGAGTCAATATTATGTCCCTGCGCCACTTTTCCGAGGCTGGTGCTTTGGTCCTCCATGGGCATCGAGCCCCGAGCGATCATGGAGGAGTTGGCGCGGCGAGAGGGTTTGAGCGGAGTGCACGAGAAAGCCTCCAGGCCAAAGTGATCCTGGGTGATCCATCGGCTCCCGAAGATGGGAGGATCGGATGGAAAGCCACAAAACAAGAACGATGCTTCCCAGGAAATGGGAAAAGTCACCCGTCCTTGAGGGCCAAAATTTTGGATCAACCCCTCACCACATGGGTCAGTTGGGCGCCGGGAATATTGATCAACCCCCTCTCGATCCCAAGGCTTCAGGGGTTGATACATGGACTGTCACATGCAGCTCTGTCCGGAAGACGGGTGATGCATCGCCCATGAAGGCTCCTTACTTGGTCATTGATCTTTTTCCGAAGTGGGCAGAGTAAATTGTAATCGCTGCGGGTTGCCTGCGGCCAGCATGCTTTCGGCTGGCTTTGAGGTACTGTGTTTTGGTTTGCCTTGAAGCGCTGTGTTTGTGTGAGCGTGAGCTGGTTCCCAAGATGTATAGCGGCCGATGTCCAAGGGAATTTGACCGATTTCTAGACCAGTTTCTAGGGAAGATTTTGACCGGTTTGTCGGGGGGAATGTGACGGAGAGATAACATTCGATTCGAAATTTGACCAGGATTTGACAGCTTTCGAGGGGGAATTTGGCTGGTTGTTAGGGGAGTTGGACAGGTTTTGCTGGAAGTTGCTCGGTTCTTTGGACCGGAATTCGAACGGTTTGTACGGGGGATTTGTCAGGAAACGAAGGGGAAACTTGATCGGTTTTTAAGGGGGGGGAACAGGTTTTTGCTGGAACTTGATTGGTTTCTGTTGGACGTTTGCCCGGGAGGTTTTGGTTACCGGTTTGTTTGGGATTTGACCGGTTTCTAGGGTGCTTGGGCCGCGCAGGGTCTGGTCTCAGGGACTGCTGGATGCAGCTGGAGCATGGTCCGGGCGAGCGGGGGCGGGTCGGACGGACAAATTTTGAAGGTTGGGTGAGAACGACCAAAAACAACGCGAGTTTGTCACCCAGGATCGTGAGGGCCGGCAAGACGTGGAGGGCGCGCATTTGCAGGGTGTCTTGTTTTCCCTGTGAAAGATAACCCGCTGGATTCAACCAAGATGGGTGTTGGTTGGGAGCAATGATGGCAGAATGCAAGCCATTTTGGTGTAGCCCTTTTCAGGGAATCCCCAGATTGCAACAATCGCTTCGCACTCCTGCAGAAAGACGTGCCATATAGGTCAAAAGGCCCGAGCGGGTCACAGGTTTCAATCGCGACCCGCTCAGTGACTTTCAATGTGGGAAGATACGACTCGTGAATATCACGTTGCAGCGCAGAAAAGACGAGCTGCAGGGATGGAGTGCGGGCAAATCACAGCTTTGCAAGGGGCTTTGTGACCTCGCTGACCTCGCACTTGAAGCTTGAATTTTGAAGTGCCTGATTTCAGTTTGGTAAATCACCCGTTTCCCAGATGGAGTTGTTGCTGCAAACTTGAGGTAGTCCTGCGCGGCAACCCAGCGAAGCGCCATGCGCAATGAACTAGGGTCCACGCCCATCTTTCTCCATGTCGCTACGGATAATATGTATTTGTTGGGGGCTTGAACCTTTGGGCAATCCTCTCAGTGTTTCAGCGGGAAAGCAGACTGCTAGGGACGCAACTGCCTCAAGTGCTGTTGAGATCCGAAGGTCCCAACTTGCCACCGGACCCCGTTGTCACCGCTGTCCTTTCATGCAACCCATCCAAGCATGCAATGGGGTTTGCTTGATGCAAAGACCTGGATTCCGGTGCTCAGGTTAGGCGGAAACCTGGAGAATCAGCCGCAGACAGCCCGGATCTCAATTTCTGTCCCGACAGGATGAATGGTCCGTGCACTGTCGCAAATCTCCAGCGTTCCTAATGTTTCCGCTGGCCATGCTTCTGAGAATGCGTGCTGTCAGGGAGCTGAGTTGGGACAAGGTTGTTGTTCGCCAGGTCAGTGTTAGCGATGCCACAGTTGGGCAGACACATCTGAACTGCATGGCTTTCATACATAAATAGGTGTCATCCATTTAAAGGGTCGGATCATGAGCTCGTAGACTTAGCTCGGGGCCTGCACGGTGGTCCTGCAGTGGAGGGGGGGGACTGGCCCCTGTGCTGATGCCATGGCGACCGCCTGCCCCAAGTTCAAACCAAGAACGGCAGAAGGCTTCTGCTTTTGGTGGTTGCATCTCTCGCCATATTTCTGGCACCAGTTTCAGATGAGCGCCCAAAGCTAAACCTTACGTTCAGCTTCTGCAAAGGGATGTCCATCGCCAACATCCCTAGGGCTGTGGTCCCCTTTGCCAGCCTGGCGGCTCCATGTTGTGGCCAGCTAGTTGCCTGGGGCAGGAATAGATTTTAGACTCTTTGAGAGCTGGATCAAGGATGTATGACTGGTGCGGCAGCGGGGAAGGATTGGGGCTGGTCTGAGCACGGCTTATGGGTGTTTTATGGTTGGTTGCAAGTTAGCCTTTCTTCTGGTTTGGTGCTTTAGGGCGACGGCACCTGGACATCGCTCCCTATATGGAGCCCTTGGCTTCCGGTGCCAGTTAGCCTCATTGGCATTGGGAAGGTTGCAGGAAAACCTTGCCCTCACCGTTACAACCCGTTGGATGTGTTTCTTTCAGCCGCCTTTTGAAACCAAAGGGGTAGCGTCAAAAACGAGACATTGACCCATTGACCCCCCGAAAAGCCCATTGACCCCCCCAAAAAGGTTTTTCGGTTGTTGCGCTGCCCCCAAAAAAAACCAACTCCCAGGTGCAATACGACGGGGCGCTGGCCTTGGCGGAGACGGACAAAGGCGGCCAGGCCGTTGGTCTGGTTGCCTGTGGTCTTGGGACCGGGGTTGGCGCGCTTACACATGGCGCGCCCGAAGTAAAACGACGCCTTTGGGGGTGTATCAAAAGGCCCCTCACATGGGATGACCCGGGGGAAAACATCCAAAATAATTTCGCACTAAACGGCAACAGTTACCATTGGTCATTTGGGGGCCTGGAATATTGATCAACCTCCACCTCCATCATGATGTGAGAAGGGACGTTGCATACCACGTAGCTTTGTTCAAATAAGAAACAATTTGAGCTGCAAAATGTCGAGATAATCATTCATCAAATTGAACAAGACGTCAGAGCGGGTGCGTGGTGTTGAAAAGCATGTGTGAAGGAAGGAGTTCAACTGTGTGGACGCTACAGGTTTGTTTGTTTGTTTGTTTGATTGCTTGTTGTTTGTTTGTTTGTGTGTTTGTTTGGGTGTGTGTTTTGTTTGCTTGCTTTGCTTTGTTTGTTTCGTTTTGTTTCGCTTCGTTTTGCCTCAGATTGTGTTTGTGTGTGTGTGTGCCTGTGTTTGTTTGCTTGTCTGCCAGCCTGTCTGCCTGTGTCTCTGTCTATTTATGTTTTTCCGTGTGTGTGTGTGAGCATTTGTTTGGCTATCCGCACGGTGCGCTGAGAATGACGCGCTGATCAAGGAAACGGTTCATTTTGATTCAAATGGCTGCCTGATCGGCCGGAGGAGGCCAAGCCTCCCACGAACCATTTTTTTTCGTGGCGGGCCACTTGTTTTGTAGAGGATGCCGGAAGCCGCCCGCTTCAGCCATGTGGCTTGGATGGCAGGCCAACAAGGGGATGGGGAGGTTAATTCTATTGGATGACGTCTTGCGCTGTCATTGAACACCATGAAGCCTATTTGTTTAACTTGACTGCAAATGGGTTGGATCTTGAGGCTTTTCTCTTTTTTTGGAAATTTAGAGGTTTTCCACTAAACCCGCAAAAAGTTAAGCTTTTTGCAGGGTTGTCAACAGCAACTAAGTTAAGTCGCAGATGGGTAAGGTTGAAGTCAGGGCCCTTCCGGCGGCCAGGCCTTCTGGCAGTCGCAGGGCATTGATACCGTGCCGAGGCGGCAAAAGGCAACAGGCTGCTTTACACATGGGGCCCGCTGTCCAGTTTTAAAGGGAAGCCACAAGGCCAAGCACCATTTTGGGGGGTTCCCTACAAACAAACACACTTACATGTTGTTTATGGCTGGCGTTGGTTGCTACAGCAAGTATGGCATTATTGTTTGACGCCTACAGGGTGGTAGTCAAAAGCATGTTTTTTTGACAGCTGGCAAAGAGGGTTTGGTTTGTACTTGTTATGGGTGGCAGAGGGTGGCGTGGGTGCAAAAGTGGGTTTGACAGTGCCCTTTCCCGCCGAGAAGGTGGGGAAATGGGCTTGCAAGACCAAAGAGAGCACTGACATGGTTCCCCTGTAAGACTTTGGCGGCAATGAATGTCAAAGAAAGCACAATTTGACCAAAACAAGCTGCCTTAGTGACTTTGACAGCAGTTGAGGCCAAAGAAAGAATCGAGTTGGCACCCAGAAGCCCCCAAACAAGCCTTTGGCAGCAATGATCGCCATACAAAGCACTGACATGACCAACAGGGGTGCCCCTTTAAGACTTTGCAGGCAACAATCGCCAAAGAAAGCACCGACTTGTCAAAACATAGACTTTGGTCGCAACGAAAGCCAAACAACGCATCGAACAATCGAGCAATGGGGCTTCCTTCAGTTCTATTATGACAGCAATGAATGCTAACAAAAGCACCGACCTACCACATATGAGGCACCCTGAAGACTTCAGATAGAAACAAAGCGGCCCCGCTCAAAGCCTGAGGGTCTCTCAAAGCCGGGCAACCTCCACAGATATGTTTTGTTTCTTTGGCTTCTCGGCCCTTTTCAGCCGCCACAAAAGGTACTGAAAACGATGCACCCAGGTGCCAATGCCGTGGCTGCCCTTCTTCTCTAACTGCGTTGGGCCTCTTCGATTGCACAGCGGGACGCGCGAAGGCTTCAGGCATCTTCAGGCTTCAGGTGCCGCCCAACAGGCTTTCCTCGAGAAGCGCGCGTGCTTTTGTTTTGCACCCCCGCTTTGTTTGGAGTGCAGAGGCTTCCTTGTCGCGGGGCTCTTAGGAAGTGTTGCGTTTTGTGTCAGAATCCTAGGGGATCAACAGGCAGGCCTCAAGGGCGGGCCGGGAGGCCGGAATTCATGGCATGGTGCTTTTCAAAGCCTTCGGGCCTTTGCGCAAGGAAGGACCGGCCATTTCAGGGGATGTTGTTGATGGTTCAAGTGAAAGGATTGCATCCAGGATTGAGTCGCATGTCGTTTCTGCTTGACCATGTCAAGTTTCGACTGGGCTGAAGCCGAAAGGATGCCCTGGCAAAAAAAAACATGTCAAAGGCATAAAGCCGCTGTGATTAATCAACACACTTCAGAGCTTGAATGCTTCAGAACTGCCGACAATTCTTCAGCGAAGGGACTCAGGAAAATACACAAGCCGTAGAGAGGGCCCAACAGGCAGCGGAAATGTGCACTGGCCCTGCGGCTGGTGTCATTATTTTGACGGTTTCTGGGGGTTATCAAAGTCAGAAAATGGGGTTGTTGCCCTTGAACCCACCACTTAGGGGGTGACTTTGATCATGGTAAAATAATGAGGCCAGTGCGGTCTCATGGGCCTCTACACCAAGGTATAAAGGTTGTTAGTCTTCGATATGACGCCCCACTACTGTAAATCAGACTGACTGCAACACCCCACTCTAAAGTGCTGCACAGGCGTGGTTAGGTCCACCAGTTGGTATCAGGAGACACTCACCTGTGGAGCTGAGTCAAGCCCGCGATAAATGGACCCATTGCAGGTAGTTTGAGTTTTTACCAGTATGTGACTTTTGTTGGGGTTTCCACGCAGTATTTCACGATTTTCACAGCTTGCGCCACGAGAAAGGGCGAACCACGTGTGGTCACCTCTTGGCGTAAATCAAGCTTGGTTTGAGAAACGCGCTCACCGTCACTGGGCTGCATCTCTGGGTAAGCGCCAGGTAAAGAAAATAAGGCCAAAACATGTGCACTGACAGAAGTGGTTGCAAGAATCCTGCTGGAGGCTTTTCGGAGTTGCTGCTGTGAAATGTGAAGGCCCATTCATGGTGCGCTTGGCATACAATACTTGAATATATATATGCTTGCCCAGCAGTCGTGGCAAATGTGCATGGGGTGTTTGGAAACCATATTGCTATGATTTTTGTGGAATGGGTCCGCAGGGTGGAAGCACTTTGAGCCTCCTGAACATGAGATGGACGCTAACAGCAGCATAATGTTTGTAGAGCTGCCTTTTTGCAGGGACTCTGTTTTGGGGTTCCATGCTAATTTCAACGGAGCAACAGTTGTCGTGTTGATGCCTAAACATCTTTTGCGCGAAGAAATTGGTTTTGGCGTCTTTCAAATTTCGCTTTGGCCCAATTCTGGTTATCTATTATATACACACACATACACACACATACACACACACATACATATATATATACATATATATATATATATATATATATATATACGCGTAATGCTGTCTTCTAGCGCCTTCGCGAGAATCGGTTCGTCCCCAAGTGGTGGGCTCACTGGTTTGTGTCCACGCAGTATCCAGGGCATTGCCATTGTTTGGGGTTTTGCGGATGAAAGTCTCATGAGTCGAGGTTTGACTCCTTCATCGTCTTGTGGGATCTCTTCGAGTCCCCTGGTGAGTTGCGAGACGGATGCAGCTTGACTGAAGTCTGGCATCCGAGCATCCGACTGCCAGACACGCTGAAGCCGTGGGGGGCACGGATTGCCGCCAGCTCTTCTTGGTGCGCTTCCTACTGAACCCCGGATGAATTGAAACCCGAGGGTGTATGTGTTGGGCGGTTTGTGGATTCGATGGTTGAGTGTTGCGGTTTGCAACGCTGTGTGGGGTCTTTCGGACTATCCCAAGTCGCCGAAGGTTTTGGGGTTGGAGGCGAACGTTCTCCCTTTGGGCTGCGAACGCAGCTGCGCTCGCTACGTGGGAACACCTCAGGTGAGCTGGTGCCCCGCGACGATGTGAAGATCGTGCCGCCGTTGATTGTAGACTTGGCAGCTTGGAGCAAACCTGGGGCTTGGCGCAGACGGTCCTTTCTTGGATCCAGATGCCCTGTTTGCTGGCTTCGGTGGGTCAAGCTGTGTGGGCTCTCCTTTCCCTGATTGACCCATAAGACATTCTCAGCTACAAAGGGTCGAACATGGCGCCTAGACCTCCCTGCCACTTCCCACAAGAAGGTGTCACGGGTTCTGAACTCCCCCTGGGTTTCTAACAGGATCATGATGTAATTGTTGAGAAGTCTCGCACTTGCAGGGTCTAACATGATACCCGAGGTGTCCCTGCTGATACCTGACAGGTGTCCATAGGGTCTTTGGTGCGACTCCGCACTGTACGCATTGGGAGTGGCAGCCGGGATGGTTTGCATGCGCTGAAAGCGGAGATTTGAGCCGCACCTCTCGGCCGCATTGGTGGCCCAACGCCCTCGAGCAACGATTGGCTGGGAGCTTCGAGCTGATGCGTTTGCAAAGCACTCAATGGAGACCGTGGCACGTGCATCACAAGATTCTGGTCACTAAGAGTCTGTGCGCTCAGGCCACGCTTGAGCCCCGCCTTTGTGACTGAGAATGCATTGGCGGGGGCCGGGGTGATAGTGCATGCCTTGGAGCATGATATGGGAATGCCCCGCGCTACCCCATGTTGATGACACAATCAAAGCAGCACACATGAAACTGGTGCTAGTGGATGAATTGCTGCAACATCAATTCATAAATTGTGTTTCGATGCCACGATCCCTGCGGATGGCCTAGAACTTCATCATGTTTACGATGCCAGTCGAGACTTTAAAGTTGCCCAGCAAGACTAGTTGACAAGTGCTCCATGCCAGGACGGCCACATCCGCGATGCTATTTGTCCCACTTGATTTTTTTTTTATTGCAGTCGCTATTGAGCTTATGAATTGACAAAGGCTTTTGCCCTGCCTTCCAGAGTGTGAGGGTTGGCTGTAGCTTGGCACACGACTGGGTGCTTTGCAGCATTCTCCCACCAAGCGCAAGTGCAGGCCAGGAAGGCCAGGTGGCTTTTCTTGTTCAGCTGCTTTGTTGGCAAAGTGAATGGCCCTGGTTCGGGATGCTCGGGATTTTCCATTTCGGAAGACACGGTGGTCCGAAGTGAAAAGGGGTGTTCTCAAAGGGTGCTGGATTCCTAATGCAATAGCTGGGTCTAGCATCTGGAAATATCTAGAGGAGTTAAGTCATGGTTGTCGTTGGGAAACATTTTACATTTTGGCTTCTTGTGGTTTAGTGGGAAATCCCCACTTAACTGCTAAAAAATGAGAATGTGTGCTTTCCTTCCAACGTCAACCAAGAAGTGTTCTTCCTGGTTTGGAAGCTAAGGATTGCCTTTTTGGCGCTCAGTTTCCTTCGGACGCATGTGAGAAATTGTCCGGCTCTCGAGTTCTCGTCTCCAAGTCCCGGTGGCGGACCAGTGCGAGATCATCACCAAGTGCCACTTCGAGGAGAATATGGAGGAAGGCCAGAGGATAAAAATATGACCCCATGGTGCCCGTTTTGGAGCCTGGCTAGCAATACTACTCCATATAGGCTACCTCATGAAGGGCCAACCCTATCGGCATGTCCCAAGTATGTCAAGATGTCGGGGGTTAATCGACATCCTGGAGACTGTGAGCAGTTTGAGCAGATGTTTTACATACTCATCGTTTGTGCCTTGGGCATGTTTGGACTGGTCATTTGTTTATTGGCTTCTTGAGCTTTGATCTTGTTTTGTAGGGGTCGATGCGCATTGTTCGGCTGGCGATTGCATTCAAATGCAGCGAATTGTTCCAGAGGGCTCGCTTATTTCATGTCTCCACGTGTTGCCTCCGACAAAAGAAGATCGACGTGAAATCAAAGTTACGTCGGCCAATCTGGCACTTTGACCACATGCGCTAAAGTTCCGCTAAAGCACACTCCTTTCCTCGGCACAACTTGCATCCAAGCGTGCTCGGGTGGTGCTTGTTCCCTTCCCCTCAGAACAACATGCCCCACAACAACAACCTTTTTGTACATACCCGGGGGGGAGAAGCCCAACTTGTTTTCAATACTAAACTCGCGATTTTCTTCCACTGACCTGGCTGCCAGTCTTATGTGGGGGGGAACCTTGCCAGACCATGAAAGCGGTGGGGCTCACGCATATCAGTGTAGAAAACAGCGCAGATGAGCTGCGTGCGCTGAAGCAAAGGGTGCTGTTCCAGATTTTGTTTCTCTATACATGTTTTACAACCGCAATCAGTTGCAAATGCTTGAAGCCCGTGCAAGCACCGGCTTGTGCAACAAAGTTTCCCGGCGTTGCGAAGACCGGGCTAGGGCTTTGGAAGCAAGGTTTTTGTTGGCGTCCCTTCTGGCCAGGCGCCTACGCGTCGACTCTGTGGTGGGAGCTAGAGGAAGATGCTCGTCACCAACATTTTTGTGGCATCGCCGCATCTCTGATTTCGACCATTTCTCTCTCGCTGGCCGCCTACAAATTTCAAGCGCGGCCTGTCGGCCTGTCGTTCAGAGTTGCCACGTGCTGTGACTGTGAGACGGCTCGGTGCAGCTTGAGGCAGACTAGTGTGAGGCTTGAGCAGTTGTTGCCCCACAACTCCTGGGTATCCTGATCAGTTTAGTTTGTCTCGGCCCAGCTGGTTAGTGTGTTATGATTGAAGCAGCATTCAAACAAAACAACATCTCAGAATCATCTTATCATGCCTCCCATGTGAAAGCCCAACATTAAGATTCCCTTCAACCAGCTTGGACACGTCACGGTGCCTGAAGGTAGGAATGCCATAAGCATTTACAGTGCCCATACCGATGCCGGCAGATGATTCATATACTTGTACCGATGATTAAATAGTGACTTGTTGCTGTTTGGGCAGGAGCCTCCCTTTTCCTCTCATTTCTTTTCTCCGCGTAATGGACCAGCAAAAAGGTGCGCTTTGTTTTCTTGCCATTGGGCTTGGTGCTGGTTGCACGCCGTTTGAACCCGCAAACTTCTTTCCTCGCATGTTGTTTGTTTGTTTCCTTTTGTTTGGTTCAGGGGGAAAGCGCAACGCGCAGTGGATCTTTCTTCGGAAGCGTTTGAAATTCGCCGCCGGCCACCTTGTTCAGGGCTCTTTACAAGATACATGTTGCAACCATTTGAAACATGACTTTTTCCACCAAAATACAGGGAAACCACAATTTACAAGGCAATGTTCAGGTGTATAATTTAAGGATTCCTGTTGTTGCTTGTGCATTCGCGAATCCTGAGACCCGTTTGGCTTAGGACGTGGACTTGTTCTACATCACCACCTATCCCATTCTCTATTCGGACGGCTCGTCCGCCTGTTTGTGAGGGTGCTTCCGGGCATGTGTCACAATAGGAGGACCCCCCCTTCCCTTTAAACCAACAAAAAGAGTTTCCCTCATACAAACCACCCCGTTAGAGCCATAATTACGACATGTTCATCCAGCTGCTCTTCTCACCATGCAGCACCCAACACTTGGCAACACTTGCCGTTGGACTCAGGTAGATGTTTGTTGCCTCCATGTCCAGGCAGATCACTGTGTAGTCAAATGCAAATGCGATTGGTTGAAAACAACACCCCCCAGCTATTCAGATTTAAAGGTTGATGCCACATCGGCAATTCACCCGGGTCACCCGCACCCCTTTCCAGAACAGTAAATGCTGTGTTGTTTGTGAGGCATTTGAGGGTATAGAAGCCGTGCCATTGAGCTTTGCCGTCAAAGCAGTCCAGGCCTTGCGTCAATCTGACAGAGTCTCGTAGCATGCACTTTGCGGCGGTGTGGGAGGCTTCATGGTTTACTCTGGTCCAATGGCACAACGATCACGGGGCGCCAAGCGCTGATTCTGACCAGGGCCAACTGTGCCGAGTGTTGGAATCTCAAAGGGCTTCACCTTGAGGTCGACTTCCAGGTCACAACGACAAGGCAAAGCGCCTTCCAGGCCTTGAGCTGATTCTTTTTTTTTTTTTATTCTGCCAGCCCCATGCGAGTCTTCAACTTTAGAGGCGAAATGTTGCGGGGCGTCTGAAGCGTCACAAGCAGGAGTACAAAGAAGGTGATGCCTTCTTCGCCTCAAAGGTGGGTACCGAGCAGCTCACTGCTGCGCCTCGGGCAGCAGGGTGAACAAGCACTCTCGCCTTTCCGCACGGATTCCCTACTTCACCCAGCGTCTCGATTTCTCCACAGCTCACAAAGGTTTCGTGTCAGTACGCCGTTGGGGGGGCATGCAACATCATGGGTGTTGGGCAAATATATTGTTTGTTTCTTACGGGCCAATACAGCGCCATCATACAGGTATTGGGTTCAAAATCTGAGCAGCACACAAAAGTTGTCCATTGAAAACAGCAGTTGCGACAACCGGAACCGCAGCTAAATTGGAGCAAGCTTCAACGACATCGTGCCTGGGAAGGATGCTGTTTTATACTGAAGCTCATTGGGCTGACGAAGATGTGCACCAATCTTTTGTTTGGGTTTAGCCATCGGCGCGAAATGGCCCGACAAAGAAGAAAGCGTATGGTGATTCAATCCCGTTTAACAAAAATACGTTTATCCGCCAATCCGTGGCCACGCTGTTTGCATGTAGTTCACTGGTCGAAGGATGCGCCCAAATCTACTTAATGATTCTGGGTGCGGGTCAGGTGGTGCCTGCCAGAATTGTTCCCCTTGGCTTTGTGCCTTTTGGTGCACCGATCTTTGCAGATCCTGCCGCATCCTGCCGCCTGCCTAACATCGGACATGCGGAATGATAGACCTTGTATGCAGGAAGGATCGCGGAGCGAAGCCTGCCACTGTGTTCAAATTGAAGGGGGCTGTTGCTGCCAGAATGCTTGCATCGCGCTGTGGCTGTCAGAGAGTACCTATACCGCCGGTTGGCCATCCAACTGTCTGCAAGCGTTTGCTTCGGTCTCGTGTCAAATCCTGAGGTGGGATTGCAGAGCGACGAGCGGATGCTTGGCGAAGTGACACTGCCCACCCCACACTTGTTTGAACCATTGGACTAATCATCCCGGTGAAGGCGGAGATATGTTGTTCTGTTTGGCGGCCACTGGGGTCGGAGAGTCCCAGAGGTTGGGGCCTCAGTGCAGTAGTGCAGTGCTGCAGGCATCAGGAGCCATACCATTTGGAGACGAGTTTGGAAACAAAGATGACCCAGGAACAATGGCCGCATCCCGCGACGCGTCTACTTCGAAATGCAGTACTTCCAGCGCTCTCTAGGCGGGAGGTTGACACCAGTTTCAGGTATGCATGTATTTTCTTTCCTCTGCACAGATTACATGCGCTACGCAGGTCAGCTAGCCAACCTATCAGAGCATTGCTTGCGGGCTCTGTTTGCCCTGCGTCGAGCGTTTCTGAGAATGATGGCGATGATGATGATGATGATGATGATGATGATGATGATGATGATGATGATGATGATCATGATGATGATGATGATCATGATGATGATGATGATGATGATGATGATGATGATGATGATGATGATGATAATGATCGGTGACGGTGATGGTGATGGTGATGGTGATGGTGATGATTGCATGAACATGTCCCCTGGATTGGCATCAGCATTTGCTTGGTCTTTTCTGCGCAGGTCTTTGCAAAGAGCAACATCATGGCATGCATTGTTGGAAGCGGTCGTGTATACTCAGGTTACAGGTTACACTAGAAAGGTTTCACAAATGCGAGAATGCTTCCCAGGCATGGTCCGGCTTTTTGTTTTGACATGAACCAGGCTTTGCCACCGTTTTGTTCTAGCACCCTAACATGCCTGGGCCACTTGCGATTCATGCAAGCACTTTTGGCGAGTACACTAAATGCAGTTGTGCTTCCACACGATGTGGCATCCTGTTTCGTGCTTGCAGCAACTTGCAGCAATTCCCAGAAGCAGAGTACTGTTTGTGAGAGGCATTCGGCAAAAGCACAACGGCGTTGTGACAGCTTGATTGCGGGAATGCGAAATCCTGGTGTTGCAGGGTTTCAATCAAGGGCGTTATCAGTCTTCGGGAACAAGCCAATCCAGGCGCTTGGCAAAGAATGCGAAAATGAACAGACTTGCGCCCAGATGACAAGAAGCTTGTGGCGGTTTCTATGCAGCTCTCTGAGTTCGACGACGATGACACAGACAGCACGCTGGCCGCATAAATAAGCAAATCGCCCAGACCAATCAGAGCAATTCTGCCCATTCAGCAGCACCCGCATGGGGCATACAGCCCAGGTTTTTAGAGGGCGAATCAGGCGGTCAGTGAATCTTGCGTTCATTTGCCCACTTTGCGACACTCAAAGGCAATGAGAGGATGGCCCGAGCACTTGACAGTGTTTTCTATTCGTGGGGATTGGCCAGGCTCGGCAGTGAGCCAACTGCGCTCGCCACTGTCTTCATATTATTTGCTCGTGGAGGATCGTTTCAACCAGGCCTCCAGGCGTTAGTCAAACATCTTTGGAATCACAAGTCATCCTTTAGAAGAGCGACCGTGGAATATTGCAGAACTGGTTGCACAGGGTCCGCTCACCCTCAAGCCAGGCAGACCAATCAGGTGTTGAATATTTGAAGAACTTGGACTTGTTGAGAACAGTGCAAGTCGCAAGTGGCACACGGTTGGCTTGGAGGTTTAGCCCGAAGGCTGATATGTTTGGAGCATGCATGTATGCTTGAGCTAAAGCTTTGTTAGTTTTAGATGCCGGGACGTCGTCCCCGACTGGGCACTGGCAGTGGCTCCCTGGTGTCACTCGGGTTCTGCTCAGCCGTCTACTACCTCATGCTGAAGTTTGAAGCGCTTGGCTGGCAAGACCTCATGAACGAGTTCCAGTTGCCGCTTGGCATGGCTGCGCCTGCGATCCAACAGATGGCAAGTTCAAACGGGTGAAGTCCGGCTTGTCATCAGTTGGCCCGAGCATCGCATTGTCGCCGTATGAGCAAGAAGTTGACCAAAGTGCATGGTTTTGTACCCTCCCACCAGCTAACATGGAAGTTCAGAGGCCCCTGTAGAAAGCCTACTTTCCTCTTGGAAAGGGCCTTTTTGCGCTTCCATGTTAGTTGGTGGGAGGGTGCTCAACCCAGCCAAAAGATCCGCTTTTGACCCTTTTGGCGGGTAACATGTTGAGAGGATCCGCTTTTGACCCTTTTGGCGGGTAACATGTTGAGAAAGAGCAAGTTGCGAGCTGGAAGGGCCACCAGGCCAGCGCATGCTTTTGGGAAGTGATGGGACACCTCCTCCTACTGCATAATGTTGACCCTATACTAATCAACCCCAGTTTGTTATTAGGGGGGTGTCTCCCTGGGTTTAGTGGGAGAGCATAACTTTCCCATATTAGTAAACTGGGGTTGATTAGTATGGGGTCAACATTAGGGACACAGAGCTGTGAGGAATATGTTGGTCCATATACGGGAAACAAAGATTCAGCGATTGAGAGACTTGCCCCGATTCAGAAATTTTCTTCAGAAACTTGGGCCCCCGATTCAGAAACTTTGCCCCCCCCCCGATTCAGCAACTTGGTAAGTCTGAGTTGGAACTACGGTTTAGCGTTTGGATTTGGGTTTAGGGTCACCACGGTTTGGGGTTGAGGCTTTGGTTTGGCGTTACCCTGGTTAAAGAATTAGATTCGCTTTTGCGGTTACGGGTCACGGCTGTTTAAGTCCTGTTTGTATTATCACGGTGTAGGGTCTAGGTTTAGCATTTGGGTTGCGACGGCTTATGGTGTAGATTATGGTTTAGGGTTTCGGCATAGGCTTTGGTCTAGGGTCAAGACGGTTTAGAGTGTAGGTTTAGGTTTTGTTGAAGGACCTGTAAAACCCAGCCCCAAGTTTTTGAATCCGAGCTTCCAAATCCGAGCGTGCAGTTTTCTGAATCAGTGCGTGACCGGAAATGGCTGTGGTTCTATGCCGCATTCCTAAGAAGCATGTGGGAACATGACGTTCGAGGCCCCAGTTGATGGCATGCTAAGTTCGCTTCTCTCGAACAAATCAGCGCAGGGCCCCAATCTTGGCAATAATCACGCTAACGTCACAACACACTTTGTGAGACCAAGAGCTAGCATGAAGGGGCGCCAAATCTGTCATTGGACAGCTTGTTGTTGGGAAATACAGAAGTTTGAATGAAGAAAATATGTGCGCCAAATGAGTAGATTAGATCATGTAAGTCCGTGTATACAGTATACATAGTTTTGTGCGCCAACAACTTTGCGGTAGTCTGTTTGTTCTGAGGTTCGCGCATGGTTGGCTATGTGTTTCATGAGTCCGACTGTTCAACATCCCAGGCGTATTTGTATCGTATTTGTTTCTGGCAAGCCGTATATCATGCATGCTGGCGATCAGAATCCTGCAACGCACATGTGGAGCAAACATTGAACTTAATCTAGCACCGACCCATGCACCAACCACGGTTGCCAGGTACTTGCCACATGGAAATGTCTACTGGCCGTAGTTGCTATTAAGATAACTTCCACCGCCAAGTGCCAAGTTCTTCAAATCTTTGCTGCAGCATGGTAGGTGTTGGCAGCAGTGCGATTGACTCATCGCACTTGATGACCTCATGTGCCGCTTCCACACATACACGAGCGTCCAATCTATGAACATATAATGCAAATTGAATATTAGGAGGAGTTGTTTGGGCTGTTTTTGTTCGCAAACTGTTTTAGTGGGCATCCTGCATTTGAGGGAACACCCTCCTTAGGAAATGTTCTACTTAGATCCGTCCACATTTCGCTCCCTGAGGCCGTACCAGGCCAGAAACTCAGATGGGCGTTTGTTCGGTTGGGGGGGGGTGGAAGCATGCGAATTGCTGGAATTCGGCCGGCAGTCTCTGTGCAGATGTCCGGAAGGCTCCTTATTCGGAGCTCTGGAGGGGCAAACAAGTACAGCAAGATTTGCTAACCGCTTGCTCCCGCGCAAAGCTACAAGAGAAACTCAATAATAATTCATGAAACGGACAACTTTACATGGTTGCCGTTGGGTTTTACATTTTACCCATTTTTGCTTATTGTGGTTTAGTGGTTGAATTCCAAATCCACTTAACTGCTAAGACCTGAGAATTGTTTGCTCCCCAAACCCAATGTCAACCGACGGTTTATTCTTGTGCTCCCAAGTCTCGGAGCCCAACCGAGAGCATCCCAAACACAAAAAAGCAGTTTATCAGTGAAGCTCTTGGGGCAACGTTCCTTGCAGCAAGCCCATGCGAAAAAAAAATACGCTCGATGTGCTTTGACTCTGTTCCTGTGCGCACCCTTCTCTTTTCTTCTTTCTGTCCATATCGATGTATGGCATGGCTTCGAGCTAAATCTAAGCTGCCCAAGATGTGAATGGGCATTGGGTATTAAACGACGTGCACCCATCCAAGTGGCCTCAAGATATCAACATCTGCTGCAAAGAAGTGCGATGCCTCCGTTTCCAGCGGAGCAGGTTTGCAAGATCTCCGGATCGATGCCCCCATACTGCACTGGATGTATTTATACTTCTTGTTTCACAGATACCATCCTGGCAGAAGAGCTGCTTCCCACTGATGATTCCGAATTTGCAGCAGGTTGGTTTGATGAACCCGACATCGAATTATCTATCACGTATCAAGCACGGTTAAAACCTTGCAAATTCAGTTCGGTTTCTTGGTGCTTTGAGGGCGAGGTGGGCATTCAATACATCGCCCACTTGCTGGGCAGGCTGGGAATACCCTCAAGTTGTCAGAAGCGAAAAAGCGCCACGCACGCCGAGGTCTATGCCATCCTGTACTGCCTGATTGGCGACTTGCCCAGAATACACCCGAAAGTCGACTTGACGCTACAGTGGGATATTCGGATCCTGAAGCCCATAGGTTTGCACTTCTCTGATGGTCACCGGGAAAATGGCGAAAATCCAGCTTAAGGTTATAAGCCCCTGAAACCACCATGGGATGGCTGAGATAGGGTGCACTCCCTCATTCAAGAACCAAGAGGCGTTGGTTCTGGTCAACGGGCTCTCTTCAGGGCTTTGGCCATCTGACTCGACACCGTGCGGTTCATGTGGCCCGAGGCTTGGGAGCTGTGGGTGCCACTTTGGTGGCCTGGGCTGGTATCCGCCTGAAGGCCGGCTTCAGGGCAAAAGGCCATGTGCCGGTTTCGCCATGCCCGTCTCATACGGCGCTTCACTGGACATGGCTCAGGGTGATCCACCGTCAGTTGCAAGCAGGTTGTGATCAGGAAGGCTGTGGGTCAAGTAAGATGTGCAAGCCCCAGGTCCGCAAGGCCACAGCTCCACCCTTCCGGCTGGTCGAATGATGCTCGGCTGAGCTCAGAGGGTGCGTTACTGGAGGAAGGCAGCTTATTGTAGATATGCTGTTTGATCGCGGGCCAAGCAGGGTTCCACTTTTTGACTCCTCAGGGTAGACTTAAACCAAGGGGTTCATTGCCGCCAAGAGGGGAACCCTGGAAGTCTATCGAACGCTAGGGCTAAGTGGGGCAAGCAGGCGTTGCAACAGAACGCCTTTGGTGGTGGGGGGGGGGGAGTCTTTCTTCGTCTGTTTTATCAGGTATGTACAGGCGACGTTGTTGGAAAGCAACTCAGTTCTGCAAAGTACTAGTAGCAGCTTGTATCCAACAGTGTTTGCCCGTGCCTAGCAACACTTTACGGCAATACGGCGGTCAGCAGCAGAAACACATTTTGCTTAGAGTAGCTAATGGACACGACACCCTTTGTCACGGGTGATTCCGTGTGCATACCATCTGGACAGAAAAGCTTGCTAACCATGGCACACTTGCCGCACGCGATCCTACTCTAAGAAGCTTTTGTAGACTTGCGCGTGAGACCCCGCCATTTGCGCTGGCTGCTGTTGTGACTGCAGAAATGCCAGACGTTTCTGACCAGAATGTGACTTCCAAACACCTGCAGATAAAGTGGACATTTGGTGCAAGCTGCAAGCATGTGTGTTGGGGCATATTGGTGAGCTGAAGACTCCAGTCCAGACTCATAGTGACTGAGGTTAAGATGCATGGATGGACCCCTCGAACCGCTTGAGCCGTCCAAACCAACAGCAGATGCATCTCGCTGAGGCTACGAGTTCATGTTCTGGTGGCCGGTGCAGGGGGTGTCCTTCGCCACACTGCCTGTGGTGTTTGCGTGCGCGATGATCAAACTGCTGCTGCTCGGCCATGGCCAATGGGCCAAGACGGAACACCATACTTGTTGTGCGTTTGGCCGAGAGTCTAAGGGTGGAAGTACATACCCCTTGTTCTTCCGCGGTTTCCAACCCGCTTTATAAGGGGTATATCCACCTTTTGGGGAGAGGGGTATGAACATCAGCAGGCCTTGGGTTCATTTGTCCAAGGAGTACGTGAAAGGGGTATGTACCGGCTTGTGCCGCTTACATCGGGATGCCGCCCGCGTTTCATAGCTTGTGGCTTGAGAGCGACTGTCGACGCGTGACGAGGCTCAACCCGCAGTTCAACTTCACGGGTGGCATTCCCTGCAAATACTCCGAGCCCCTTGGCATGAGCAACTCTGCGTGCACACGGTGTATGCTTGATCAAGGGGCCTCATAGCAATCTACCCTGCCAAAAAACAGAGGTAGAACCTGCACGGTTCCTGAAACACGTTCCTTTACCCGCAACCCCGAAAGCACTGCGGGTAGAGGAAACTTCATTTGTAAGATGGACCCTTCCTTTTGGGTTCATCATGAATGTGTGGGGGAGTATTTTGTGATTCAATCCTCAGTTTGAACCCCCAAGGGATGAGCTTGACACGTGGGGGCTGAACCTTGAGCCCAGATCAAATAAAAGGCGAAGGTAAGTGGAGGTACCTTTTCGGGTCACTTCTCTCCAGAATTCGCTCGACCCCCCCAACCTCTCGCCGATCTCACACGTCTCCGTTTGTACGGAGACGCAGGTCCAGCGGACATCAAGCCCGTTCCGTTGCTTCAGCTCCAATTCCCCCATAGCTTTGCAGGTTTGTTCGCCGCAAGAGTCAAAAGGCAGGCGGGAGGATGGGAATGATATAGTGTAGAAAATCCCGGAAGTTCCTGTTATTTATAGTACTTGGATCCTTTCCAAGCCTGGAGACAAGTTGCAAAAGGGCCTTCCAAGAGACAATCTGGCAGCCCTCTCTTTCCCAGAAGAAGGGTGCCGCAATCCTATCCCTCTCTGGAACGGAACAAACACACGCAAGCCAAACAGATCCGAGGCGAAATGTTTCCTGTCCAGGACCAGGCTTTTTCCGTGCTGGGTGTGTTTCTTGTGAGTTGTTTGTGCAGATGGACCAATTTGCCTGGGTGCGATAGCTTACATGAGCATTACCTACCCCAGAGCCAGCGGGGGACCCCTTTCATAATGTATGCCCAGTGGGGGGGGGGGGAATGTATGTAATACATTTTCCACGTTTGCCGCCCCAAGAGTCTTAAGCGCTTTGCCAAGGCTGAGAACCTAAGAAAGCGATATACAGTCACAGCCTTATGGAAGGTAGGCACAATTGTAGGTAGACAGAAGCAAATGGCTGCAAATGGACCTGGAAAGGTCCGCGAGTTTACGGCTCAGTGTTGGAATGCTTTCAAATTAGGTGTTGCGCGATTCTAGAGGCCCATGTGCCAGCAATCCGCAGCACGCATTCCGGCAGCAGCCCGAGAACGGGCTTTGCCAAAAACATGTCCTAGAACTCGTACGAAGTGTTGAAGTGGGCATGTAGCTGAGCAAGCTTGTCAAGCGCTGTCACTTGCTCCATCTTGTGCTGCCAGGACTTGATGGAGGCGCTGGTGTCCGATTCCTTGATTGTGAGACTCTTCTGCTGCTCAACAGGCGCTGATCTTTGCGCGGACCACGTGGACAAAGCCCAGGGACATATCCGCCAACTTTGTCAAGGTTGCTTCAAGTGGCTGGCCCTGGCCTACTTCAACACCCACTACAATTGTCTCTCCAATTAGGCCCCCCCCCCCACCGGCGTTCAACAGCTCTAGCTCCTGCATCGCACACGTGTAAAAGCACGCGCCTCCGAGAGGGCCCAATATTTGAAAGTGTGATGGGGGTCAAACTTCCAGCTCGCTTCGAAGTCAACACTGGGATTGCTTCGGGGGAAGCACCGCGCGCCTTGTTTGGAAGCTTGTCAGTCTTGCTGACGCCACCGTCTTCTGGGGCATCGTGTCGCTCACCTCGGTCTCTTCTTTGAGAAGTAAGTGCCAAGAAGTCAGCAGTACAGACGCGGGCCCTATCTACTTGCTAAGTGGTTTACGACCGCCGCTCGTATAGGGCTTGCTGCATTTTGCTTTGAGTAGGGCCGCCCTGAAGACAAAGTACGTGTTTTCACTGCTTTCAAGTGACGCTGAATCAACGCACTGCCGGATATGAGCCCTAGGAAGCATTCGTTCCAAAGAGTAGTGGTGTTTAGTTTCCTAGCTCAAGCAAGCGCATCGTCGCAGCGCCATGCTGAAGGGCACGAGCTTTGCGCCGTAAGCGAGGCGCAACAGAACTCAGCTGGGCCCCTGTGATCACTTCCTGCTCCGGCCAAGGTTCAAGTCGATCCACACCACCCCGTGGCGATCGTGGGTTCTGAGATACATGGAGCCCTCACTAAGCATGCAAAATCCTGGCAAACAAGCTGGTTTACCCAGAGCAATCGGAGCAATGCGTTGCTATCCACTACGTCAGACCGATAACCGCAGGCTTTCGAAAATTCCAGCAGGGGAGTGCTGATGTGAAAGCCCGTGTGGGAGAGAGCTAGCTGATTGACCAAGTGACTGTGCCGCCCAGCAGTCCCAGCGTTTCCCACATCATTGGAAGTGGGGCCGGGCTGCGATTTAGATACATTCGTTGCAAAGCGAGGAACTAGCTGAAATGGAAGGCCGACGAGTGTCGGATTCGTTGCTGTCGGGATCACAGAGGTGTGAGAACATCGAACCGGGGCAGGGGTGCCTCTAAATATTTGAGCAGAGCAAACAGATAGCAAGCAGCGCTCTTTAGCGTATGCACTCATTGTGCTCCAGGGATTCGCGATGGTGTTGATGCCAGTGTGTGGATCGAGTCCGCGCGACAAATTTGCTAATTTGTCGGAGCAAAATCAGCTAGACTTCATTGCTGGGAATGCGAATTAGTTAATTCGACAGAGCGAATTTCATCTAGACTTCATGCTGGTAATGCTGGTGATGCTGGCGATGCCGGTGATGCACTCCGTAGATCAAGGCGACGGGTGTCCGTGCGACGAATTTGCTAATTCGTCAGAGCGAAAATCAGCTAGACTTCATTGCTGGTAATGCGAATTAGCTTTACTTCGCCAGAGCGAATCTCAGCTAGACTTTATTGCTGATAATGCTGGTGATGCTGGCGATGCCGGTGATGCACTCCGTAGATCGAGGCGACGGGTGTCCGCGCGACGAATTAGCTAATTCGTCAGAGCGAAAATCAGCTAGACGTCATTGCTGGTAATGCTGGCGATGACGGTGACGCACTCCGTAGATGAAGGCGACAGGTGTCCGTGCTAATTCGTCAGAGCGAGAATCAGCTAGACGTCATTGCTGGTGATGCTGGCGATGCCAGTGATGCCAGTGATGCCAGTGATGCCGTCTGTAGATCGAGATGACGGGCGTCCGTGCGACGAATTAAGTAATTCGACAAAGCGAATACGCTGCTTGGTGTAGGTATCAGACGCTGCCACTGCGCCGCTCCCACGAGTCCTGGAAAAGCCTTGGCTAGTTCCCAGCCCCAAGCGTTTTCAGGGGTCACTTGTTCTTACGCCCGGCGGGCATAAGAACAAGTGGGGGCCAACCGGAACAAGTGACCTGGTCACTTGTTCGCTAAAGCGCCTACTTGTTCTTAAGCCCGCCGGGCGTAAGAACAAGTGACCCCTGACGCAACAATGGCTTTAGCCGCGAAAAAAGGCAGCCACTGGCAAAACACAAATTAGAAACTCTATTGCAGAACGCCCAAATCACAAAAAATGCAGCTCGACCAAGCAAGCCAGTGACAGGCCCAGGAAAAACTGTACAACAAATTGACACCCACACACAACAACCAAATTAGAAGCCCTAGTTAAAAAGCCCACTTCACGAGAATCATCAGCCAGACCAGTAGGCCAGTGCCAGGCCTTAAAAAAGTCCAGCTGCACAAAATACACGGCGAACAAAATAGAATCTTTGCATAACAACCGCAAAAAAACAAGGCGGCAACCCCACACAAAAAACTAACTAGAAGCTCTGCTGAAAACTCCCACTTCACGAGAATCATCAGCCAGACAAGTAGGCAGGCCCTGAAAACAATCCAGCTGCCCAAAATAAACGGTGACATCCCCTCATTGGACATTGGTGGAACCCTGGTGGAACGCTCGTGGAACCTCACCTCAGGGCCGTCCGGGACTATCTGGGCTGAGACCCCAAAGCTTTCAGCTGTTGGAGAAAAAACCAACTTCACGAAAATCATCAGCCCAACAAGTAGGCCAGTGACACAGCTGGACAAAGAAAGGCGGTAACACAGACAACATGCAAATTAGAAGTGCTACTCAAAACATCCTGCTTCAGGAAAAGGTCGGCTGGCGGGGTCGGGGCCCGACTGCTGGCGTGGTCGGGGCCCGACTGCTGGCGGGGTCGGGGCCCGACAGCACGCACAGTTTCCTTTGCGACCGGGCGCTGAAATGTAACCTACACAGGTGGCTACAAAGGACATCAAAAATCAAGACACGTTTCAATCATGTTCCTTAGTCTCCTGCTCCCGTGCTCTTCTGGTCGCTTGTTTTTTTTGCAAGTGGGATGTCTTCGCCGGGCTTCTGGTTTGTTGTGTGGCCGCCGCCCTTTTTTGCGCGGCTTGATTTTTTACAGGGCTGTTACTGGGCTGCTTGGTCGGGCTGCTGTTTCGTCAAGGTAGAGCTTCTAATTCGCTTGTGTGTGGCTGCCTTTCTTTTGTGCAGATTGATGTTGTTCAGGGCCGGTGGTCGGGCCCCAACTCCGTCGGCGGTCGGGCCCCGACCCCGTCGGCGGTCGGGCCCCGACCCCGCCGGCGGTCGGGCCCCGACCGCGTCGCCGGTCGGGCCCCGACCCCGTCGCCGGTCGGGCCCCGACCCTGCCGGCGGTCGGGCCCCGACCCCGTCGCCGGTCGGGCCATGACCCCCTCGGCGGTCGCCCCCTTCAATGGTTCTAATTTGCTTGTTGTTTGTAGCTGCCGCCGTGTTTTTGCAGCTAGCTTTTGTTTAGGGCCTGTCACTGGCTCGGGCTGATGCCTTTCGTAAAATGTGATGCTTTTAGTAGGGCTTCCAATTTGCTTGTTGTGTGTGGCTGCCTTTTTTGCGAAGTTGTTTTTCAGGGCCTGCTAGTTGTTTGCTTGGTCGGGGCTGCTGCTCTTCGTCAAGTGGGATGTTTTTAGTGGGGCTTCTGGATTTTTTGTGCGCGGCTTGTTTTCAGGTCCTGTCACTGGTCTGCTTGTTCGGGCAGCTGTTTTTTGTCAACTGTTTGTTGGCAAGTAGAGCCTCTAATTTGTTTGTTGTGTGTCGCTGCGCTTTGTGTTTTTGCAGTTTGTTTTGGTTTAGGGCTTGTCACTAACCCACTTGATTGTTTGTTGATGCTTCTTTAAAAAAATGATTTTTTGCGTAGGGCGTCTAATTTGCTTGTTGTGTGTGGCTGCCGTTTTGTTGCGCTAGCTGTGTTTTTTTCAGGCCCTAGCGCTGGCCGACTGGGTCGGCCTGCTGCTTTTCGTGAAGTGAGATCTTGTTTGAAGGGCTTGTAATTTTTCTTTTTGTGTGTGGCCCCCGTTTTTTTTTGCGAAGCTTGTTTCTTTCAGGGCCTACTTGTCGGGCTGATCACTTGCGTGAAGTGGGACGTCTTTCAGGAGGGCTCCTAATTTGCTTGTTGTGTGTGGGCGCCGTTTCTTTTTGCGCAGCTGGAGTTTTTCAGGGTCTGCCATGGGCCTGCTTGGCTTTGGTCTCTTGCTGATGTTTGGGGCAAAACCCAGCAAAAGCGGATTTTTATGTATATTGGGGGGGGTGCGGTAGGATTGTGGTCGCAGCTTAAATGTATATGTGGGGGTCCCCCCTCCCCCCTACATAGGGGTCCCTCGGAGCCAGACTGGGTTTATGTGATCTGTGGAATGTCCGGTGAAAAGTCGCCAACTCACTTCCTGAGTTGATGGACTTTAAATTTTTTGGAAAGACCATTTTAGTGGCAAATATAAAAAGTTCAGACCTTTTTTGGCCAGTCAACTTGGGAAGTGAGCTCAAAGGCTTCCGAGGCCAAGGCTTCAAGGGATTTTGGCAAACCGCCCGAGGCAATGGAGGGGCACGTGCAGAGATACCCTTGATAGCTGAACTTGCAAAAGACTCGATTCGGAAACATAATCTATCACTATACTTTATTACAAAAACCGGATGTTGATGATGTTTAGCAATGTTTTCGCAGTCTGCCATGAAAGAAAACTCTTTGTGATTCACAACGGTCAGAAGAAGTCTTACCGCGCCCTGCCACTCACATGACAGCTGACAGGGCGTCCCTTCAGAATGCTGGTCTCGTAGGTACCTTCCCACAGGTTCCGTTTTTTTTCTCACGCTGATAGAAAATATGCCCAATACCCTGGCAAATGGTTGGTTCGTAAATATATATATATATATATATATGTATATATATATATGAATCTTATGTGCTTCTTTAGCCACTTCTGCTTATGCTTATTTCTCTCTGTTTTGCCCAGAAGCTTCCAGCTTGGAATCCAACTTGCGACCTTGAGAAGCCTTTGGCTCGGGAACCCTTTGGTTAGGGAGCCCGGAGAACCGAGGCTGGGGTTTTCCACACGCTCAACAAATCCATTTCGGTTCACGACGCTCCATCCAGGCTTGCCTCCGCTCAGACGGATGAGAAAGAATCGGAGACCTGCCGGGAGGGCCGAACCGGGACGTGCTTCCTGCTCGCGGGGCTTCTTGGAGCGAACACGGGGTCGCGGGGAAATGGGCGGCTGCTCTTGTGAGTTGGTACTCCCTTTTTTTGGTGGTGCGAAGGGAAGCGCAAAAGAAGACCTACATCGTGTTCGGTGGCCCCTATCACGTGTGTGCGATGACCAGGTGAAAGTTGAAGCAGGCGGAATCCAGCGTCTTATCACTGATTGGGTTAGGATGCTGGTTACACGTTCATTTGTTCTGACTTGTCCTTTTGGGGTGCCCAGTTGTAGCGTGGGTCAGTCTGGGACATGGTGACTCAGGGCTTTGGTTGCGCGGTGTCTCACGCAGCGATCGATTGACTGAGCTCGCGAGGGGCCCGTTGTGTTGCTATGGCTGAAGAAACGCTGCAAGGTATGACTGAATTGAGCGAAGGAGAGGCTTGGGAGACGGTTCAGGGATCACGCAGGCAACAGCGCAGCTGCGACGTAAATTACCGTTGCACGTAACAGCGTAACGCGAGGCACAGCGCAGGGATTTTGCTTTTACAGCTTAAGCCTGGCATCGACCACTCGACTTGAGCTCGCACTGTGACCTGTTGTTTCGGGCAGGTATGCTGGTTGATTGAGACATGTTTCCCTTGATAGGGGCAACCTGTGATGTCACGTGCCAACTTGATTGCGAATGCATTGTCCATAGCACAAAGAAGCCAAGGTCCTGTTGCTGCAGGTGGCTGCTTTGTCTCGCTAGGCTGTTTGGAAGCTTGGCGGCTCGATTTGTTGGGTGTCTCTTTCCAGGCAGCTTTTCATGCCCATAGCTGTTTCTTAGGCAACCAGATGCTTCAACATGGGCATTGTCTGATGCATGTCTACAAGCTGTTCTAAGCGTAGATGCCATGAATGCTCGTCTTTGGCATGGCAGAACAACCAAGGAAATTGTGTTGAGGGTGGGATGGGCAATCAAAATTTCGGCCTTCAGGCTGCTGATGATGGTCTCAGGCAGGGCCGAGCTTTCGGCAATGTTGATTTTGCGACTCCTGTACCCAAGTGAATCGGTTGAGGTTGGCTTGGACAGTGTTTGTTCTTCTACTTTGTGTTCTAAACCGCGTTTCCACCAGCAAGACGACTCCACTGCGAATAGGATTTGTCGTTTGTTGCTTTTGTTTTCTCTTTTTTTTCCTCAGCAAGACGAGAGTATTCCAATTTCTAAAAGACCCACCACTATGATTACACCCAGAGAGGCTAAACTCTCTTGCGCTTGTCCCATTCACTCCGAGTTCTGATTCTGAGTGAGGAGGCAGTGGTTGCCGTCCACGGACGGCCAAGAAGCCACACGTCGGCCAAGAAGCCACACGTCACGGTGAGCAAGACTACGGCTACCCTCCCCCCCCAAAAAAAACAAACAAACATAAAAACAAAAGCAACAAGTAGCTTTCCTATAAAAAAAAAAACGCATGCAAACAAACAAGGACCAACAACACTAATCTGGGAATAATATATTCATTCATAGGGTGGAGGGGGCCAAGGGGCATTCTGGCAAAATTATGCTCCGTCGTCTAAATCGACCCCCGCTCCAGCCACAAACGTCCAAAACGAGGCGAGATTGCCATAAGTCTTCCAGGGCGCAGATGTTTTCGAGAAAACTTGCTGCTTCTCAGCGCGGAATGAGGGCATGACAAACCATAGGGGAAACCATCCCCTGTGGTTTTCTTTATTCAAGAATCCCGAATCGGTTCATTCCCAAACCTGGACTCATTCCGCACCTATCGCACCAGCACACAAAATATCCGGTGGCCAACCATATCTATAAATAGGTTCCCCCAAGACTAAGAACGCACGTGGGTTCTAGCAGGGGGGTCGTTTTGCCACCTTTTGTGAGAAAATTGGCGACCCCCTCAACAAGGAATGCTTCACTACAAGGGGCTCGATCGATCATGTTTCTCCCCCAATGGCCAAAAGACTTTCCTGGCTCAGGGGCCCATAAACTTTCCCTCTTTTTGGCTGTTTTAAGCATCAATCACCTTTTTGGCCCATGAAAGGTGAGTATCCCTTGGGGGTGATGCTTTAAGGGGAAGTGGGAAGTATAGGGAGCCCCGTGGGTTCTAGGTTCCAGTTTCTTCCGCCGGTCCGGCTTGATTCCGCAGGCAGCCGCATGATGATCCCGCGGCTCCGGGAAGTGGAGGAGCAGTTCCTGCTGCAGCAGCCCACGCATTTGCTGAGCGCCTTGGCCGCGGCTGGGGGCACGGGTCCCGGATGAAACAGTCGAGCCCATGCGATGTGCGCGATGTTCCTGGGTGTCCTGCCCGGCAAAGTGAACAGTGTCCAAAACTGGGAGACCCCCCAATCAAACGCAACCAGGAATATTGAACTGGCACTGGGTTCATTTGGCTTTGGATAATAATTCTGCAGAATGGGGATTGCCAGCTCTCAACTTGTTTCATCCCAGAAAGTAGCTGATAAGAGAGGGGTGTGCAGCCAAGCTTGTCAAGTCGGTGCCCCATGGTTGGCTGCAAAAAGGATGGCACTTGGAGTTTTCTTCCCCAGAATAGATCCCCTTCTTTTTTTTTTTGGGGGGGGGGGGTCCCTTTGTTTTCCACTAACCAGGCAAACCATTTTTTTTTTTTTTTGCAGGGGTCCTAATTCCAGCCGTGTTTTGAGTTTGGTTCTATGCATTTGCCCTGGAAGGGGGAAGTTGTCCCTGCACTTGTTTTGCAGGCCCAAGCCATTGTAAATCGATGGGAAAAAGGGAAACGATACCCCCAGCATGAGCAGACCATTGGCTCAAACAGTCTGTGGGTTTTTGTGAGCTGCACCCTAGTTGAGAAGCTATACGACGCACAGGTAAGGCCTGCAATCGTTGCTGCACCGAGGGACTTACAGCCGATACTCAAACCAATACTCAGTCGACTCCTTAAGCGATGTAGAGGAGGGGAGCAATCAAGACATGGCTCCCTCAAGAGGGAAAGGGTGGTCTGAACATGTTGAATCCTCCACCTTCGAAATCAACATCCCATGTGGCAGTCCGGCATCCGGATGATACAGAGAGCCCCTCTTGCTGCGGCGCCCGGCTTCCAGGACCCAAGGTTGTGAATGGGTGCCTGTGCACCCTCCAGAGCAGGCATCGGTTGTACCAGCCCTCAGGGATCAGGACACATAGCGGGGTCAGAGAGCAAGTTCCATACCGCCTCCTTGATGCATCGGCCCTGTTCAGCCTCTTGAGCAACATCCTTGATGGCAAGTTGCCACTGAAATCATGGCCGTTTTGGACTAGCAGTTTGGAGACCTGACATTCATTTGGCTGTGGCTCAAAAAACCGGTGCCAAAATGGAAGCCGATCGCTAGGTGGAAACATGGACCAAAACCTGCGGTTTGCCCCTCCGATCGCTTAATTTTGAGCCACACGCATTTGGGGAGTTGCCTCCGGAGGGAAGGATGCAAGTCACGCCCCTTTGAGGCAGAGAGGGCCTCACTTTGAGGGCCGAGCAGCGCCAGCAGATCAGGAGATGCGGCTTGCAAAAGCGGCCATGGCAGGCTGAAATGAACATGTTCTTAGTTCAAAGCTGACCTTTTGACCTTTTGGTCTTCCTTGTTTGGTCCTTCTTGAGTAAAGGTCCGAAAAGGTTAACCTTTTACTTCCAGGTCCTTTGGGCAAGTGAGTGTTCTCAAGAATGTGACATGTCCATCCCTACAACTTCTTTTGAGGCACCGGCATCAATGCCTTCTGTTTCGGTCAAGATCTCCTCTTGGGTTGTAGTAACGCTGGTTAACGCCCCTGTCTGGATTGGTGCAACCGCCAGTGGTGCAATGCTTCTCTACTGCAAAGAAACTACGCAACTCCAATGCTGCCGGGTGTTTGTGTTTGGTGTTCATTCAGCTCTCCAGCGCAGCGCCCATACAAGCAAGAGGGCAGATCAATTCCGATTGTTCGGTGAGACGTTGGCGATGCGTTTGAGGCCCCGAAGTCCGAATTGTCAAATCAGGACTTCACCCGTCCAGTCATAGCCATGATGCTCCTATCTTATTGACATTGCCCTTTCGAAGGACGGTGCCAATTCGATGGAAGCGCGCCCACCTGATCTTTGTCAGTGGCTTTGCTGCATGCCATTGGTTGCTCCAGGTATGCCTTAACCAAGGTTGAGGCAAGCATTTTTTCCCGAGCTGCGTGCAAGATTCGTTCCAAGCCGCTGAAAGAGCCTGAGGCTTCTAAGCAGAGTCCTGTGAGGCTTTAATGTGCTGGGGATCCGATGCCACAATGTCCATTCGAACTCCTAGAGGAAGAACAGTAGTAGCATGTGGGCGAAGGCCGCCCCTCTTCGAGCAAAACTACAAACCAACCTTTCTCGTGATTGCTTCGCAAAACGTGATAGTCTGCAATTGTCAGGCTACCTTTGGAGCTTGCTGTTAGACATGCGGCCAGCAACTCGTTTTGTTTTGTTTCGCACAGAAATGCTTGCGTGGCGGTTCCGCATCGCACCCATGGGCGAACGGGTTCTGGCGACCTGGCAAGGTCTTTTCCTCATTTTCCCCCTAATCTTGCTGTGGGAGTTCACCTACTGCGAGTTCTTCGGCGAGAACGCCCTGTGCCTCGGGAGAAACCTGGTTCAGGGGATGTCAGGGGTCAGCGCGTGCTGTCAGCTTAGAAATGGATGGCTCCTCTTTTTTTGAGTTGGAACCGGTTCCCTTTTCTAATAAGGGAAACCACATGAAAGCCCCACCTTTTTTTTGGGGCGGGGAGGGGTCCCCCAAAAACAGACACAACCAAATGAAAGTGGTCTCCAAGTGCATGTCGAAAGCCAGGGCCCCTGTAAGAAATGGGAGGTTTCATGCCTATCAGCTTACAAAAGCCCTTTCTCCGGTTTTTGCGCGTGACGTCACGCGCTTAGAAAGTGGATGCGTTTGGTGTCGCCTTCCTCGACGGTGTTTTCATTTGGATCCCAAGTGTGCATTTCATCCATTTTGGCCCAGAAGTCTGATTTGAACTACTGAAATGTTGGTTTCGCTTTTTTTTGAGTGCAGTATTCAGGAAGCATAGGAGGTCAGCGTTCTACCCTAAAGCCGTCATGGAAGGGCTTGAATGGCAACATGTGTCTTGACTTTGTCAACATGTTTGTGTCCCAACTTCTCCTATGCAAGATGGGCGCCAAGCAATTTGCAATATCATCCGGGTTCCGGGTTCCGAATGGAAGTTTAGGCGCATGCACTCCAAAACTGGGGGGGGGGGGGGCATGGGACCTGACTTCACGTGTTTTTCGAGATGCTTGCTGGTGCTCAGTGGGAATGAGGGGAAGGAACCTAGGGATTCCCTGAAAGGAAACCAGATGGGATGATTTGCAAGGGGCATTTCCTCATTCCCTGCTGAGCACCAGCGAGCATGTTCTGTTTGATCCCAGGCATAGGGGCGGCATCGGTTGTGCGCGTCCGGGTTTTGCAGTGAAGGTCTGTCTCGGCTGGCGGCATCCATCAGACACGCTTCTTTTGGTCGGAAGGTCAGCTGGTGGTTTGCACGCCACATCAACATCTTGTTGTTCCAGGGGTACCTCCCCCATTCTTTCCAGGGATCCTTCTTTCTAGAAGCCCTTCAGAAACCCAAGGAACACGGCTGGTTTTCGAAAATAACGATGGTTGATAAGAACGGGGACACAACCCCTAGAGTTGTTTTTTTCTAGCTGCAAGAACTCGCCGGGTCTTCCGCAGAAACATGTCTACAGGTGTCATGTGCCAGGCCAATGGCTCTTGGCATCAGACTGGTGTTGGCCCAGTGGAAGCTAGTCAGCTCGGCCATAGGTCTAGCTACGAGCCTTTGAGAGGCTAGGTTCTGCTTCGGTTTCAGCATGCGGCTTCTAGGTGTGCGGTATTCTCCCAGGCTGTTAGAACGCCGACCTAGAAGCTGCCAATGTCTAACGTCCACTCGAGTCACTGGAGGGGTTTGGTTCGTTGACACGGAGCCAGGTACTTCATCATCGGCTTCAGTTTCGCCATGAACTTTGTGGACAATGCCTTGTCCAAGCGCCTCACCCAATGCGTTTGATCAGCAGAAGATAAGGCGTGTCCACTGACAGTCACCTGTTGGTCGAAAACGACGGGCCACAGATTTCCCATGATATTCCCAATGGTTTCCGCGGATTTCCCGGTGCTTTTTTTCCTGGGTTTCCCCACAGGTTTCCACTTTGCCACTTTTTTTTCTTTGGTTTTCAAGGTTTCCCAAGTGGCAAAATAACGATCCAGCAGCGGGCGACGGAGGCTCAATGCCAAACAGAGCAGCCCCCCCCCAATGTAGGCGTGACACTTCGCAAGCTGCCGAAAAAATGACTAGGTCCGAGGTCCCCCAGTAGTGCCCTGCTCTCCCCTTTTTTGGTTGGGAGGGTTCCCCTACCAAAATAGGCTACATAAAAAAACGGGTACCCTTATTCTAACCTCTCTACTGGAGGACCCAGATGAGCCGCCCAAATTCGAACCCGATTGAGGTGAGGGCACACCCTGCCCATTTGCTGGGCCGTTCCTGGCTGACCGATGTGTGCAAATAAGTTGATTCGTCGAGCTGGAAAAATGTGTTCTTCGAGACTCAAAGAATTGCAATTTTCCCAGCAATTTAAGTGAAGCAGTTCAAGGTGTTTTTGTATTTTTTCCGGTTCCAAAGTTAAAGGCACAATTGAATGTAGAAATTGATAAAACACACATGTCCAAATCGGTAAAATGTAAATTAGGTATGAATCTATAATTTCAATAAACATGTGCTGGAAAACTTCTAGTAAGACTGGTGTCGGGACTGGCGCGAAATAAGCAGGTTTAGTATTGGTTTAGACTTGGCGTATTCTAAAAGTAATTAGTGTTGGGGATCCGGGGGTCTGGAAGAAACGATATTTAGGGTGCATTTATCAATAGGAAGGAATTAATGGTGACCACTTCACATATCAAAAGTGGGCAGGATTTCAGAGGTGCAATTTTGCTTGGATGTTAGGACTGAACATTTTTTGCCAACTAATGGGTTTTACATTAGACCACCAAAAGCTTCAAACAAAAATAGCAGGGGAGCAGAAAGCAGCCGAAAGTTGTTGGGTGCGATGCTTGGTTCAAACGAGGTGTACCCCCTACTCCAAATACCCACTTGTTCTATGGTATTTTTTTGGAAAGCCTGGTTTTTCAAGGTAAATACCTCCTTTTTTAGTAGAGGGTCGACATGATACCGTAAAAAAGTGGGTATTTGCAGTCGGGGGTAGGTGCTCCTGTACACTGCCTGCTGAGGGCGGTGCGAGAGGAGCTGATCCAAGTGCCGCTGTCCACCGCCTGCAGCGTGGTGCTCTTTATCGGCGGCCCGGCGGCTGTTTGAGACGCCCTGGTCTCCGTGGATAGGCCGTTTTTTGTTTTCTTTTTTTTCCCGTATTTTTTGTCCTCTCTTTTTTTCCCGCTTTTTGTTTTTGCCCAAAAAGGCAAAACCAAAAAAACGGGGGGGGAAACAACGACTCTTAGCCCTGTATGGTCCCCCTTTTTTTTTTGACATACCTGGAAACAGGCCGCCGATCTCTTGCAAGGACCCCCCCCTTTTGCTGTGGAGGCTTGGTGACTTCGGAATCGCGCGAGCAGGCAGTGTGCGTCACGTGGGATTTTCTTCCAGGCTTCGCTTTTGGCAAATTTGGAGCCGGGAACATGATTCCAAATTCGCCTTAGCTGCCTTTCGGAACCGGGTCTGGTTTTTCGACACCTGCTTTTGTCGAGCGCGCAAAGACGAGCTGGTAGTCACTTTAAAAGGAGATGAACTTGCCAAGACAAAGATAAGAGAGCTCCTCAATCAAACCACTTACACAGATTGAAATCACTAAACAAACAAAATCACATGCGAGGCAATCATATTCAAAGCCGATCACAGGTTGATTACCCACGCAGTGGGTCCGAGGCAAAACACAACATCCAGCCACCTCTACTGAAGAAAACTTTCAAGCATACTTGGCACAGAAGAAACAGGCATGCGGCATGGCATTATCAGATGATACTTCAACAAGGCTTAGCCCACTTCCAGAGACGATAGCAACCGTTTGATGTGCCGGCCTTGTCACTTCTTGGAATAGCACTGGGTAGCAGCGCTGCTTGTTGTTCACATGAAGTCAAAACAATGGACGACCCCACCCTGAGAGGGAGGAAGAGGGAGAGAGAGAGAGAGAGAGAGAGAGAGAGAGCGATGCCTGTACTTCCAACCGAACGTGTCGTGAGGTTGTTTGAAACCCTTGTGTTGAGTTTCCGGTGTAGCTTGGACCTGCACTTTTTCCATGGGCCGGCGTTGTCGCCTATTAGCCATGATATTTTTGGTGCCAAAATGCGGCGAAGTGAGAAGAGCGCCAGGGACCTCACAAGAGACCGCCAGGCCCCTCAAAAGGAAAGGCCCGGTCAAAAATCCCAACATGTTCATTTCCACGAGACTTGTCAAATCTGTCGGTTGGGATTTGCTTTCCCTTTTGGAGTTGCCGGGTAGCCCGCAAAAACTGGCGCCCGCCGGCAGATCAATCCAAATCCATGACACTTGAGCCTGCAATGCGCTCATTACAAGAGGGCCACACCATATTGTCCACTTGTTCCAGCGTCCTTTGCACGCTTCTTCAGCTTGGAGTCCTAGGTTTTGACTTTGAGTTTCATCTTGGCTTTGGAGGGAAGGTGGCTTGGGTTCGAACAGGGTCGCGGTCTGGTTTGGTTTCGCTCACGTTACTAAGTTGTTTTTTCCTCAATGTGTACCAGGGCCAACTCAACGAAGGGATAGGTGTCGGAAAGGTGTGTTCCTAGCCAGCGGGGTTGGGGCAGATTTTGGATGGTGTAGGCAGAGTTCGGGCTGGTGTTGAGCTGAATCGTGCCACTGGGGAATTTGACCACTTGGAGGCATGTAGCTTTAAGAAGTTTGTCAGGAATGCAGCTTCTAGTTTCGTCCACTGGTGCTGCTTCGTTTCTTCTTCCAGTTGGTCGGTTTATTTTGTTGAGAACCTGAGTTGGTTTGTATCCCCTATTTGTTTCCAATCATTTGCAGAGAGCTGCTAGTGTGGGAACCCCACCCCTGGTCGATTTTCATTGGGCATGTCTCCTTCTAGTTGGAGGCCGAGCACCTCATATAAACAGGATGGGTCAAAAAGCGATGGGTTTATCATCAAGCAACAATGGGCGTTTTGTATGCTAGGGGCGTGTGTAGGACCCAATCCCCCCGCAAATGGTCCATGGCCCAGCAGGAAGGTTGACCCCGGATTGGAGCCCAAGGCCGATCCATGGTTTTTCTCGCCCAGGCACACTGGGTGCAAACGACTTCGTGGATTTCTGTGAAGGCCGGGGGCTTTTTTGCCTGACCGAAAGAATCCGGAAGAAGCCTAGTGAAAAGATTCGCACGTGGCCTTGAGACGAGGGATCCTTGGCTTATGGAACCTGAGTCTCATGTCAAAAGCGCCGCAAAGGGGCTCGCCGCATGTCAAATCCAACTCTTTTGCTTGTGAGGTTGGCTGGTGGGTAGCAACTTTTCATAGCGGGGGTGTGCTATGAACATTGGATTCTACACCTAAACTGTTGTAGCCAGGTGCAATCTCGGGCATGACCCATTCTTCGCAAAGTATGAAAGTAAACGGGATGCAATCTTGCACAAGTCAAAGAGGCTTCTATGTTGCTTTGGTCTATTGGTGTTTGTTGAAAGTTGACAGCTTGTGGTGGCTCGGCCCGGTGTCGCGGCAGGGGTTGGAATGACTGTCGGGTCATCTCCCTTATTCGTTACATTTCATTGTTTACTGTTTGCCTACTTGTTATCCACAGAGGCGCATTTGGCATGTGACATGCATCACGTGCTTTACCCGAGTTGAGTTTCGATCTCTCAATGAGTTTGTTTCGAGGTGATAGCTTGGTCTCCAGAATTCCGTTTTGCCTATTTCAGAATTTTTACCGTTCAGTGAGCGAGCGATTTGGGCTTTCGCCGCTTGATACAATTCGTTCACTCCCTGGTAAAGAAAAAATACTCTTTCCGAGTTGACCTGGCTCCAAGAAGCCTCTAGCTCCTTTTTAATCTGAACCAGTAACCAAAAAACAACATCTGGAAAGAATATGGGCCGCAAGTTGCCAATCACGTAAACAACTTCTAGGCTGCCACTAATGTAATGATGTCTCAAAATCGGGGAAGCATCAAAATGGGTGGCTTCCTGTTTTCCCGTAGATCTCCCAAATTCGCGAAGCCAGAGGATTCTTCCTAGAGCTGCTCTACGGCATCGCCGAGCGACTGATCTTGGGCTCGCTCTTGGAGGCGAGATCGGGCATTCTAAGAGGATTGAACGGTTTGCGCGACCCAGCCTGCAGGGAAATTGGAGTATAGATTCTTTGTATTAGTATGGTGTCTCTGTGGTGGTCTTATTGGATAGTGTGGGATTAGCAGAGGCGCCCCGTAGACTGAGTGTGAAGCATGCAAAGGACCGGGCCTCGCCATCCAGTCCCCGGGCCGCCCATACTGTCGTGGAAACGTGGCCGGACTCGTGGAAACGAGGCTAGCCATTCACTTGGTCCTAGCAGGGTGCTGTGGATGAGATTGAACCCTATCACAGCGGCTCGAGGCTTGCAAGGGGGTGCGCTGGTTTCAGCGGATCGAGCTTTTCATGGCGAAAAGCGCGGCCTTCCGCCCGCGGCCAGGGTTCCTCGCGCACAAGGCTTTGCCAATGAAACCATCGGCTTGCGCAGCGCTGGGATGGCCACAGCAGCTATAGGTCCCCCAGTAGTGCGCTTTGACCAACTTTTTTGGGAGAGGGTTCCCCTACTAAAATAGACCACAGAAAACAAGGTACCCTTATTCTAACCTCTCTACTGGAGGACCTAGACGATGTACCGACCGTGGCCTTGGTGAGCACCTGAACTCGATTCACAGCAAAGTGCGTTGGCTAGAGCAAGCCGCGCCCTTCCTGCGGAAAGCCGGCGAGCACGGCGGGCGAGCACGTCGGCTTGCCTTGGTTGCAGTTGTGCAATGAACGCAGGCAAGATGTAATGTGGGACTGCTTTAATGGTCTCCCCTCCCCTTGAAAAGTGGAACCAGTCATCGGGTGTCTCTGCAAAGTTGGGAAGTTGGGGGTCTGGGTTCAACTTCGACTTACCCTTCAGAGTCCCAGCCAGTACTTGCTTCAGTATCAAGACTAACCCCTCAGAGGCCCAGTACTTGCTTTGGAATTGCCAATGGCTGAATATGGCGAAGACTTACCCTTCAGAGTCCCGGTGCTGCTTTATTATTGCCAATTCCAAATTTAGTATTGACAAGACTTACCCTTCAAAGTCCCAGTACTTGATTTAGTCTTGCCTTTAGAGGTTTAGTAAAAGGCTACGGCTCTACTGTGGGAATTTCACCCACCTACCCAAACAAGTTGGACATGAAAGCGAACCTCACAATAGGCACATTAAATAGAATCAGGGCCCCGTTGTGCGACTGTTTGGCCTTATTTTTTTTCAAAGCAGTTATCTTATTTTTGTTGGTTTGGGGACCACTTTAAAAAGGATGTTCTAATGTTTGCCCGGAGTTACTTATTGTTAGTTCCGGCCAAACACATGTTATTAAAGCGACCCTTCAAGCAGCAGTCAGAGGATTCTGAGTTGGGAGTTGTTTGTGTTGTAATGCGACGCGGCCTCCATATTAGGGTACTTAGCAATTCCGTCTCAGGCCATACTTGCTTCGTTTTGGTTCCAGGTCGCCCCAAAACCTTCGGTCCGTGGAAGCCCAATGTTCTAGGGTTTGATTCCCCATTCTTTTCAAGCATTGTTATTTTCAAAAAACCTGCCGTTTTCCCTGGGTTTAGTGAGGCCTTTTGGAAAGAGGGAATGAGTGGAAATAATGGGAAAGAATGGGAAATAATGGAAATACGAGGTTTAGTGAGGGAAAGAAGGATCCCTGGAAAGAATGGCAATGGAAGGTACCCCTAGAAATGTATATTGTACCTTGCGGGGTTCTGCAGGCCACGGAGAAGGGCGTGGCCTGGGGAGTTCATTGGGCGAAGCGCGGGCCTCGGGATGGTCATTGGTACGCTTCCCGCAGGTGGCGAAGCCCTGGACGAGAAAAAGCGACTTGTGTTCTCTTGCCAGAGGTGCATTTTGCCAAGGGATGTTCGGACTTTAACAATTACCAACCAATGGGTTTTCCCTTAAACCACAAAAAGTTAAACTTTTAGCAGGGGAGCAGAAAGCAACCGAGGTGCTATTTACGGTTTTAGACTCCGTTGGGATACGTACCGTTTTTTTCAAGTTGATGAAAGAAGTTGCGCATCGCTGGCTGATCTAGCACCCTTGCAGAATGGGATGTGCCCTGCTGACACGCCCTCAATGCTTCGCTTTGACGATCCCTTAATTTCAGATACACCATTTCTGTATCCACAAGCGACCTCCCAACAGCTGCCGCCCCTACGAGAAACAACCTCGTTTTTGTTGAAAAATGCTTCCCGTGGGCATTGGGGAAGGTCAACTATACGACATGGGACATTTGGCTCAATGAATCGCTCTGGCTTCAGATCTGAGCAGCGCTTCTTTCGTTTGATGATGTTCGATGGTTACATGTTTGGGGTGAGGTCGGTTGAGGTGGGTCCTTGATGCGCAAAGGCATGATTCAGGATTTTGTAATCGCCGAATGCAACTCAACGACAGTGGTGCAAGAAACACGGACCCGAGAGCATTCATTGTCATCTCCGCTGCTTCGAGTATGGATCGGGATGGTCAATCAGCGGCTGTTTTGGTTTGCATTTGGCGGCGGGAGCCTTCTCGAACAGGCACCGGATTTGCCTTGGCAGATTGGCCTAGGCCTGAGGCAAGATAGGCCTAGGCCTGAGGCAAGGTGTGATCCTGCTCGGCCTCGCGATACGCAACAGGGTTCCCTACATCTCCGAGCTAAGTGTGCAGGCGCACATGGGTTTGTATTCGCAATATCGGCTTGTGCCATGACTCTTAAAGGATGTTCGTTAGCCTGAAGCCAGGTGTGCTTGCCAGCGCAAACGAAGTGGAAAGGCCCGAGCCTTTAGGACCAAATTACGGGCATCCTTTTCACAGGTCGGGTTTCGAGGCAACGAACGCAACCGGTTTCCCCATGATCTTTAGAAGGCTTTGCCTCAAGACGGAAAGTGATGGTCCTGGAAAGGGTTCCACATCTCAGCTGAGGACGCGTTCGTGGTTCTGGCGACTTACCCTATTGGTGACTGGAGGCTTGCTCCGGAATCGGCCTGTCGGTCAAGCTTTCACGTCAGAAATGTACTTGTAGCTCCATTGGGGAGGTTGGTCTTACAGCTACTGCCCAAAAGCAGTGGGGTTGAGTTTTTGAAGCTGCCGCATGCCTCGGCTCTGCGCTGCCCGGAAGATGGGGGTTGATCAAAAGGTCCTTTCCATGGGATGACCATTGGGGAGAACCACTAAAATGTGATATGTCCAACCAAATTGGGAAAGTTGCCCATAGCTTTCGGGAGTAATACTGTCTCCTGTCCCACTACAAGACCACCAAAGACCTGTGGTTGGCTGCAGTCGGCCAACGCATACGCAGCAGGATTTTTCAGGTATGCTGCCTCGCACGTTCTAAGAGTTAGCGGTTCCCCGGCACAGGTCGGTCTACCAAGGCGCTGTTGATGAATGAGGGCAAGGACGAAGATGATGCCTGGCAGCAGCCATGGGGCAAGGCGTGTGCCAAGTGCCACGAAATTAACTTGGGGATCAAGGAGCGGCATTGCGGCAACCTGCACTAATAGACTGACCCTGGGGACAAATCAATTGTTTTACTATGGCTGGGCCATTTGTAATCAAAGACCCCCATAGGACAGGATCTTGCAGCGTGGCCTTCATGGCCACTTTGTTGGCGCATGCACCAAGGACGTGTCGCCAGAAGAGGCTGGCGGGATGGCAAATCCGGGCCCAGGGGTGGATTATGTATATTTTGTTTGTCTCCTGGGACCCCGTATGGCCGTTTTTGTTTAGGTCATGCGCCTTTGACCGAAAAAAATTGGTCATACGGATTTGTTTACGGCTTTTTTTCAACAACGCGGCTCCTCCTATCTGTTTGGGGGCTTGGACGCTGGAAGACAGCAAGAAGCCGGGTTTCCGCATCTTGCGAGGTCATTAAATCCGGGGGGTAGGAGTGGCAAATACAATGTTTGCGGGTTTGGGATGAGCGGGACATCCGTGGGACTCACGTGGTTTGTGGATGCAAGGCAAGCGCATGTTTGCTGCCTTCTTGCTGGCTTGCTGGCGCTTCACTGCTAAGAAAGCCTCCCCCCATGGACCAAGTCGGCATTGGACTTGGGCCCCGGTCTTTGCGTGGCTAGAGAGGCCTGTTTGCATGTCAGCATGTTGCAGCTGCATTGATACCAGCCAGTCAGCTGCATTGAAACACCAGCCGGGCACATCACGATATTGGAGCATCAAGAAGTGAATAGAGCAGAGTCGCATCATGCGCTCTTCAATTGAAGGGGGTCAGGGGGCACTGCCTACACCCTTCAAGAAGGGGTCACAGCCAAAATCCTGCGGTCCATATGGTGGCGTAATTTGGACCCCATGCCCAAATCAACATGGGACCCCGTTTCGGCGGGTCCATTTCACAGGGAGTTTCCTCTGGGAGGTTTTTGGTTGAGTCCCATGTTCACCTGGGGAGGTAAGCCCTGTTCGGGTGGTTGTTTGGTTGGTTGGTTCGTGGCCAGCCCATGTTAGCGAGGCTTGAACCCCAGGCCCGCGCTTTTCTCCCGAAGCTTGAGATCCAAGCCGGAAAAGGGGGGAGTAAGCCCTGTGAAGCCTTGGTGGTTCGCAGCCATCCGGTTCCTTGGTTTTTCAGCTTTTTAGTGTTTAGTGGTTGCTAAACGTTAGTCATTTTTCTTTTGGGGGGGGATCTTAGTGGTTGGATTTCCATTTGACCTGCGAAAAGTTAGTCACTTTGAGCGGGGGATCTGAGGGCCCAGTAGCCCCAAGACGGGCGACGGATCTTCCGGGCTCAGGTGGGCATGGAAGGCACCCCCATCGAAGAGGCCATGGAAGAAGTCATCGGCTGCGGCACCACCTGCATGAGCTGCTCGGGAAAAACAACTCGACCGGGGGGATCCGGGAATGGGAGGGGGGAGGGGGCGGGGAACAGACAACAAGATGTTCATTCATGGTTTTGTTTGGTTCATTGAACCGAGTTGTTTTTGCGGGGGAAAGCTGGAAGCCATGGTAAATTAGAACCCACGTTTAGGATCCAATGAGCATTTTGGGTTGTAGCTGGGATAACTTGATGGTAAGCTGCTTGCTAAGTGGGTTCAAAAAGCGGGCCGTGCCCTTGGCCCCCTGATCCTTGGCACTTGTTTCCTGGGCTTTTCTTGGGAGGGTGCACGCGCCGATCAGCGCCTAAAGATGCGAGGCGAGACATCGGAGCGATGTTGAAGGACCTTTGGCCCTTCGGAGCTATGTGGCCTTAGGTTCGCCTTCTCAACATGGAGGGGCCATGTGGGGAATAAATAATCCAGAGTGCGCCAAATACAACAAGGCTTCCCTCCCACCGACTAACATGGAGGGAAAATGGTCTTCCAGGACCCCCCGAACGTCAGGTTCCATATTAATTGGTGGGAGGCTAAGTGTTTCGAGCCCAACTTGCCATGGAGAAGCCTTTGGAAGCCCCATGTGTGCTGAGCTTAGGGTCATGGCAGCGTAGCCAGGAATCGACCTTAACTCATTGCCAGACTTAACTGACCATTTTTTGATTTGTTGTCTTTCTCGGTGTCCTTCATGTTTTGTGCAACCAGCAAACAGCTTAGGTTTGTGCTGATCAGGACTTAGAACTGCGAACATGGTCCGGCCTGTGAGTCGTAGCCAAGATTGCCTGACTGCATGCAGCATATTCCCCCCCTCCCTCAGCATGACCTAAATCAAGCCCGAGCCAGCTTTGCCTTGGAACTCATGATCCCCTGAAAAGGCGCAGGCAGCCAGACATGTTCGTTCGAATGATGCCATGCGATGCATGTATGTGTGCCTATTGCAAATAAATCCCCTGTCTTTTCGAAGCTTGCCGATGCGGCCAAATTTCGAGACCCCAATTTAATGACCGTGATGCTCGCATATTTCCGACAGCTGCGTTTGCTTGAGCCGTGCCCCCACTCATCAAGCAATATTTTTTTGGTTGTGGTGTTTTAATTATGTTGGCGGTGCCAGTTCGGCTTTTGGTAGCCTAGGGCCAAATGAGTACTCCTTTGTTTGGGCGCAATGTTCAACACGGGAATTCACGCGTCAAGCTGAACATCACAATTTAGCAGTATTCAGACTTGTGTTGGCTTAGTATTTGTTTAGAATTGGCCAATTCCAAATGTGTAAAGGATTATTTGGAGCATCTTTAGGAAGACGCAATTGCTTTGTGGATGCATTGTTGCAGAAAGAGCCATGGAAGGTTACGCAAGATGCAGGCCATTCTTGGTACGGCGAAACGTTCCCTGGACAGCTCAGGTACCATCATGACGCCTTTCATTATCAGTGCGATCTATTTCTTCGCCTCTGAAACTGAGATCCCTGTGCCCCTTGGCGTAAACGCAGCCAAAACGCCGCCAACAGGTTGTGGTCTTTTCAGCGATTTTTGTCCCCCAATAACAGGTGACCACAAGAGGTTCAACACCGGCGCGTGTAAACACACCTCAATGCATCGGTGGCATTCAGTGTCATTTGGTGCCAACTTTTGCAATGTGGTGCCACTTGGCGGTGCCTTTGCTTCACAAAACTTCCCTCGTTCCCTGATGTCCACGCGCCACAATTTGTGAGAGGAGCCTTTTTGTCTTGCTGTTGGCCCGTCAATTGGCAGCTCTCGGAATGTTCCCTGGCTGAACATGCAGTTGCCTTCCCTTAGGCAGTACGACATCCGAAGTACGGACTTGGTGTGCTACTTGCTCTTCGGCGTCATCATTGCTCCCTTCCAGGCTCGAATGATTTCGAGGCAGAAAACAAGTCCCATGCAACCATGAAGAAGACGAAAAGGAGTGCCTGGCAATTTGCTCAGCTAAGAGGAAGTATCAGGCCAATGCTGCCGAAGATATGTTTGCCTCGGCAAGATTGGCCCGAGCTTTTGGGCCATTATGACTTGAGGTATCGTTTGTCCTTTGCCCGGATTTGGGCACACACACACACACCATTTTCCGCGTCGAATGGCTATGTGGGAGATCACCTCCATGGGCAATGGGCTTGTTCTCATGTCATAGAACCGATGGCAAAGGGCATGTGGGTTCGACTGGGGGCATCATTTGAGTCTTCCAGGTCATGATGGACATCCTCATGAACCATGCCGCTTGGCATGAAATGCCACTGGCAAAGCGCCTGACAGATGGAACCTGTGGACGAAATTCATATCGCGCCAAATCGAAACCACAAGAGATCATTGGTTTGTTCTCAATGGAAACTTTTCAGGGAAAGTATCGTGGTTTCAATTTGGGAATTGTTGTTGGTATTTGTGTTGGCATTGTCAGGGACATTAGAGTTTTCCAGGGTTTCTTAGGTGGTGCGCTATGGATTTGGTCCATCCACAGGCCGCAGAAACGAGGACCGAGTTGAATCCGGAAAGCCCATGGGGCCAGACAGCAGCAAAGTGGTGTTTGTCCATCAGCTGACTTGGTGGCTGCGGCTGCTTAAGCGTTACCGTGAAGCGTTTGAAGAGCTCACTTTCCGAGTTCCTGGACTTGACACGTTTGGGGTGACCAATTTTTAGTGGTAAACAAAGAGTTCGGACTTTCTTTGCCCATGCACTCAGGAAATGAGAGAGAGAGAGTGAGTGAGAGAGAGAGAGAGAGAAAACAAAAACAACCTTGGGCCGCTGGGGTCATGGGGCGGACTGCCGTGGGCCGTTGCGCCTTCGGGCTATTTCGAAACGGGTATGTGCACGTGAGCCACGTGCTCAAAACCGATTCGGGTAGATGAAGCTTAGTAAGGGGCAGTCCCAGCCAGAAATAGTTGCGGCCGCCTTCTTAGTTCTTTACATAGACCATTTTAATACCGGGTTTTGATTGTGACTCACGTTTGGTGTAGGGCGCAAAGGCCAAATTTCAGGCATTTGCTGGGATTTGTGCACTTCAAGGTCAGTTCAAAGATTGTACCTCCGGAGTGCAACTTGCAACTTGCAGCAGGAAGCGGCGGTATTCTCGACTCAAAGGCATGTCTTTTTGCCCAAGGGGGCTACATCACCCGTGAGCATGTCCTGAGAGGTCCAATGCGCTTGAACGTTACTGTTTTGGAGCCATACTGGTGAAGTGCACGCCAAAGTGGAAGGCATATTTCTCAGGCTGCCATGCAACATGCTGGAAATAGCGGATTCTATATATATATATATATTTGAGGTCAAACAGACCGTATCGATTCGGGAATTGGGATGTATCGCTCATTTGCTTCAAGCAAGGCGACGGAGCTTCAAAACAACGTGCGCATCTACGATTACATGCTCTACGCCAAATGGCGCTGGCGCAACCGAGTGACACGCTTCTTGGCAAGCTGGGGCCGGGTTTGTAGGGGTTGACGACTCGGAGTGTCTGCTTAAAGGATCTTAAAGGCCAGTTGATCAACCGCACAAAGGGCTAATCAATTCGTTGCCCCTCAGCTGGGTGCTTTGTGCGTGGAAAATTGCCATGTTGAGCCGTTGCCTTTCCTCCTTTTACTTGCAAACTCGAAGGTTTCCCTTCGAACAGCCTTTGAAGGATTCGATAGACGATGAATTTGAATGGCTGGTGCCTGGTGCCTGGTAGAGACCCTCAAAAAGAGTATTTTGGCTCTTGTTTTGAATCGATTGCTCCTCACAGGGCGCTGAGCGAGTCTGCAGCTTACATTCCCTTGGACATGTGGCTTCATGGGTATGGTGCTGGCAAAAAAATGCGCCGAGGTGATGAAGCCTAGCTTGTTTGGGGATGCAAGGGGGGGGCCTTCCAAAGACCCTTGAAAGACCTTTCAGTTGGCGCAACCTCCTCTTTGTAACATCAAGATGTCGCGGCATTGCTGGAGCCGAACGAGACACGTTGGCAAATCGCGTTGCAGGACCCAAGCGGCGCGCCCAGGTTTTATGAGCTATGACTTTGTCTTCGATGTTTGTTGGTTGGAATGTCGGAAAGGATGTCCAGAATCCTTGAAGCGAATTCAGGCTTCAGGCAGTTTCAGGCAGCAACAAGACAGTCCAACAAACCGGATGTGCTGAAGGTTGTGAACCGGTCGTAAAAAATAAGCCGCTCAAAGTTGCCTGGGAAAGACCCGCTTGTCAGGAATCCTCCGGACCCAGAAAGCAGGCCAACCAGAGTCAACGTAAAGATTTGCCCCATTGTGAAGGTACTTGTAGGTGGCACAATTCCCTTTGTGACGGCAGACGGGATGACAAAACCTCAACGGAATGGCATCTACTTTCACCCAACTGGGTATGAATCAAAATTAAACCACCAGGGGACCGCAGGTTTTAGTGCTTGGTTCCATTTTTGCAGGGTTCCATTTTGGGTACATAATTTTGACCCACAGCCAACTCTTGGCAACCGCCCCAAGGTTGGCTCTTTGATGACCCCCGCTTGGATCAATCCATCGCAGAGCCCTTGCAGAGCGTGAACCACCTGGCCTTCTCCCCACAGTTCCTCGGCAAAAACCTCGCTGTGGAGACCCGAGCCGAAAGGAGCTTGATTTGAAGGTCAAGGTTGGGACTCAGCCTCTGACCCAAAAATGGGGGAATGCGACTCCAAGCGGATGCCGAATCGAATGCAACCAGCCGGCTTGGCTTGCTGATTTCATACCTGCGTGCTAGTGATACGGGCTCAACCGCACTTGCATATCAAGTGTTGGCATTTTGTTAGGCTCTTGGGGGCAAGATATCCAGTGAGCCGTGCATGCTTAACCAACAGAGCAGAGACTGTGCTCATCCTTGTCAGAGGGTCCTTTCGCGAAGACACAGGGGGAGAGAGGGGGTGAGAGAGCGGGAGAAACGGGGCGGGGGAGTCGGAGGGAGCGGCAGAGGGGGAGGGAAGGGAGGAAGAGATAGAAAGATAGAGAGAGAGAGAGAGAGAGACAGAAAGATGCAGAGAGACAAAGACGATAAAGATCGAAGCTGGGAGGGGAAAAGGCAGATAAGCCAGCAACATAGCCGGCCAAGTGACCTCGTACGCATCAGGAAGCGGCACTGTGTGTGGGGGGACGCTGCCTTCGGAGAAGGAAGAACCCCCCATCTCCCACCGACCCGTTCCAAGTACAGGAAGCAAAGCAGAATGTGGAAGAGCAGCTGGCCCAACTCAACCAATTTGGCTTTTGGGCGGAGGGGCAGTTTTCCTCAAAGGTCCGCAGTTGAATGATCGCCTTACTTCACCAACTGTGTTGGGTTGGCCTGAGGTTTTACTTCATTGAGACCTACTACACCTGGGGCATGCTGGTGTCGCTTCTGTCCATCACCATCTTTTTGCGGAAGAAGATCCTTGGCAAGACGCTTTTAATACTGCATCCTGTTTTTGTTGAAATACTCCCCTGCAGATTAACATGGACCTCCAAAAAACACCAAGTACAGAAGAAGCTCCTTTAGGGGGACCCTTTCTTGGGAGAGACGAAATTGTCGGGATTTAGTTGCAGGGCTAGTTCAAGGGTCATGGCTATCAGCTGAAATGGAACCTTGCAAGTGCGAAAGAATGAGCCGATCCATGCGATGTCATTCTTCTTGGCTCGGCTGGTATCACATGCATTGTCTCCCAAAGGTCCCAAAGTCATCCTATCTCAGGCAGTTTGATGCTTCTTGTTTTGTTTTGGACCAAGCTGGCTGCATGGTTTTGGGAGCGTTCTGTTTCTCAGTGCCATCCGTGCGAGCCACGCAATTCACAGCGTGAATTAGAGATTGGCGTAGCTAAGTCCTGGGAGATTGTGCCTCCTGTTCGGCAGGATAGAAAAAACCTAGGAGTTGCTGGTCCCGATGGTTTCCATGTTCGGCTGCTGTGAGACACCCACAGAGGCCTAGGCCCAAGGCCTGATCGGCATATCCACATGATTGCAGATGGCATTGGTGTCAATTCGGTTCTAGCAAACGGTTTCCAGCTTGCACCACTGGGCAGTCATATCCGAGGCCCATTTTTATGTTTTCGAATTTAGCTGGCAGCATGAACCGTGGTCCCTAATTTGACGATTAGGGTGACACAAGTGGGCCCCGGGACGGCCCTACCAAGTTGGCAATTGTAAAATGTGTGTGTGTGTGTGTTGGTGCCTTGCTTCAGGTCTATCTCACACCCAGAAGGTCGAGTTCTTGCTTGGCCCCTTTTTGTTCTTCTTTTTTTTCTTCGCAATGCGCAGGGACTTGCATTGCGATATACACGTCATGGAGGTGAATCAACCAATTGCATTGGGCCGATTTGAAGAAGCAAACGACAAACTGAAACATATCGTTTGGAGAAGAAGAGTTGCTTGCCCACCCTAGTGGCAGTTGCATTCATGCCGCGAAGCAACATGCCAGTATGAACCCCCTGGATGACCCGGCGCTCTTCATCCTTGTGGGTCAAATGTTCCTCTTGAACTACCTCTTGGATCGGCTGATCCGGTGGCTTACGTCTTCTGCCGCTCAGGACGCATAATGTGGAGATTTCGCTGAAGTGATGTGCATGACTTGGCCTGACGTGCAGTGCAGGGTTGGGCACCTGACTCTTTCAACGCCATGGCACACGTTTGCACGGAGACTGTGGTCACCAGTTTGCATTGCGGCACGGGAAAACCGTTGTTTTTGCTGCTTCAATTGTTTATGCGCGAGCTTCGGGTCTTCAATCTTTGGCTTGTGGCTTGGAGTCCAATAGGAAGGGCCACGCTGACTTTTAAGCCGGGATGGGTAGCAAGAAGCCGTCAATAAGGTCGTCTATGGTGTCTTTCTGGCGGGTGCAAGGGGGCTGAGACATGTGGAGAAGCAACTCCAACAGCAATGGCAGGACCCTATAAATGAAAGGAATGAGCATTGGGAGCGGCCCTCCAGCTCTAATTGCCATGGAGCCCGGCAAACATGTCAGGATGAAGTTGGCAGCCACGTGTTACGCTGTTTCTCGGTTGTTTGGTATGACCAGTTTCCGAAGGTGCGTGCCATGTCAAAAGTTGGAGTCTCTTGATTTCATGCCTCGAGGAAAGGCCTTGGGTAACTTGCTAACCTTGCGTGGCGCTCTGTTCGTCATGAGTTGTCGTTAAGTACATGGCGCAAGACGGGTTGTTTGTGTCGAGCTGAACCTTGGCCAGGTGGGCATATGCCCTTGGCTTAACATCAAGCTGTTGGCGAGAAGCCCAAAGCTTGTGAAGCTCAGGGTCCTAGGCCCAGGCTTTCAAGCGCCACCCATTGTGGATATTCAGGGTCTGGGGGGAACATGGCAATGAACAGGGCTAAAGGCCAACGGGCCCAACAAACGTCAAGAGCATTTTTTTTCAGGCGCGCCACTTTGCATCAACCTGTTGGGGTGCTGATTTGAGGCCCTGATCAATGAATCCTTGGACAGTAGTGAAGCGCCGATGGTCAGTGGTGCTCAGGGAAGCGAAAGCGGGAATTGTGTTTCGATTGTTCAAGCAGGTGTTTGCCAAGTGTTTCTTTGTAGCCTGTTCCAAATGGTAGTGGTGAACAAACACTGCTTGCTCCCCAAGCCTAAGTCTTGAGCGCCATCCTCAAGGGCTCCTCCTATCACCCTATGCCACCGCTTACCCCGTTGTTTGAGCCTTGCAAGTCTACTCCCAACCTTCCCGGTCTTGCCCTGGTCAACAAGCCATGTTTTTGTTCCACCTTTGACTTCGACATTACGCTGAGTACCGATAAGCTCACCAAACTGAATCAAGCCCAAACTCACGGCTCACTTGAGAGTTTCAGGTGCTTTGAGAGTTTCAGGTGCTTTGGAAGCCCATGGATAACAGCAACTTCCGGATCTTCAGCCGATCTGTTGCGCTGGCTCTGCAGCGGAAGGACCAATGGCCTAGCCGAAGTTGTTGTGTTTGTGTGTCTCTCCGTGTGTGTATGTCTGTGCTTGTGTCTGTGCGTGTGTATGTGTTCTTTTGATTGTGTGTGTGTGTGTCTCGGTGTGTTTGTGTGGGTGTGTGAGTCTGCTTGTCTTATTGGGCGTGTATGTCTGCGGTTGTGTCTTGATCTTGTAGTTGATGTCTGTGTCCAGGTCTGCGTGTTTGCTTGTATGTCTGTGTGTGTGTCTTCTCCTGTCGTTGTCTTGTGTGTGTGTGCGTTTCTGTGTGTTGTGCGTTTGTGTTTGCGCTTTTCAGTGTGCGGGTGTGTGTGTGTCGCTGTGTTAATTGGTTGGTTGGTCGGTTGGTTGGTTAATTCGTTCGCTCGTTCGTTCGTTCGTTCGTGTGTTGGTTGGCGGAAGCCGGGGGGGGTACTGTAGCGGGTACGTGTGTTTGTGACGGTGTTTCCGTGTGATCCAGGTGTCATGAGGCAGAGGTTCGGCAGTAGGCTGTGCCGCGCTCAGAAGCACCTTAATGTTGACTCCCATTAGGGGGGTGGGGACCCCTCCAAAAGTAGTCTGAATCCAACCACTAAAAAGGGAAGGGACACCCCCCCCCAATAAAATCAACCAGGGGTTCTACTTGGATCCGGGGTTAACATTACAGCGCCTTTGAACGGAATTTCAAGGGGGTACGAAGCAAGCCTCATGTGACAGGACGCGGCGCTGGGGCAAGAGAAGTACCGCCAATGGTTCTGGCAGCGCCACACAGGAGTGATAGGGAAGCAAGTGAGGCCAGCTTGTTCTGGTCATTCTTGGTCGGCTAGATTCACCCTGGTCTTTGGGTGAATCTGATGGCCCTCAGTGAGTTTGATCTCATTCTGCTGGACGCGTTGTAAAGATGCCTGGCTGCAGGATGGCTGGTAAACCATTTGGGGGACATCTTCACTCCTCGCTCGCGGGAGCGGTACAAGGGTAAGCTGAGCCTTCTCTACCAGCAAGCGCTGCAACTGCAAAAGGCGCCTCGGAGTAGACGCAGCCCAGAAGGCTCATGAATTCACCCAGAAATTCCATTTGCTTGAGAATATTGTTTTCTTGCCCTGTTGGTGTTTAAAGGGAATCTACTGGAAAACGTTGTGTTTTTTCTTCAGGGGACTGAAGCGAATGCAAGATAAAGGTTTGTTTCACAATGATCTACCCAAATGCGAACGCTTTGGCTGCGGCAAGACGCTCGCAGAGGATGTAAACGCTGTCACTAAACCTCAATGAAACGGGAGCTCTGCTTTACTGCACTTGCTTGTGCACAAGCGCGGGAAGAAACGGCTGGCATGAGCACGATCCAAGAATGATTGACACATTTTGCAGGAGGCATGTGCCGTAGCGTGGCTTTTGCATGCACGTGTCACAAGCGGTCTCTTGTTTGATGGTTGGTTGTCCCAGTGAGGGCCAATAAAGCCGTATTGCTTTTGCACAATCACATTGCCATCCACGTTTGCACTTGCTGAGTTTGCACCCCTCAAGAACTGCCAGCGCTATCGCTCAGGCACACCATGCTAAACAAGAAGAGTTGCTTTTTCCAAGACACCCAGGTTTTCCTGATGTAGCGCTGCATTTGGAGCACGTGGGAAGTTGGGATATGTGCTTTCCCCGTGCTTGCTGGGACACTGTCAACACCCCATCAACCGGATGGGGGGTTTTATTGTTTCGTTTGATTCCAAGCTGCTTTGTGGCTCATAGGGCCAGTCAGCTGCTGGATTGCCTTTCGAGGCCCCCGGATTAGAAAGAGGCCTCGGCTGATGGCATACCCAAAAGTCTGGCCCAAATGCACATCCATCCAGGGCTGGAAGGAAATTGGAGTATCCAAACTGAAGGCTTGAAACTTGAAAGGGCCATTTTATGTTGTTTTTGCGGGCGGTGCTTTTCGGCTAAGTACAAATTGATTTTCAATTGGGTTACCGTTACCCCTGCCGATACGTCGCATGCCATATTTGCCGCTAGGGATCCGGTAAGCTGCAAGAACTTGAAAGAACGGATTGGTTCGAACATTGTGAGCCGAAATGCAGTACAGGAAACGGTCTGGCAGTTGTTTCCTTTTTTCGGCTTCCAAGCGAGAACATCGATTGCTTAGGCTGATATACTCATATGACATGGTCGAAGCTCCCATTTCTGATGTTAGCATCCTGGGTGTCAGCAAGTTCTGGCTGCAAACTCTTTGGAAATTCGGAGCCATTAGGAGTATCAACCGCACGGAGTCGGTTAGACGATTTCGTTTCACTTCAGATCCACAGCCTCTCACACTCGCGAGTTTGGCCAAGCTCAGGTGTGCATTGGTCCCTTTCCAGCGAGGAGATTTCTTGCCTGACTAATGCAAGCGTGGGATCAAACTAGCAACCATGGCGAATATCTTCCATGTGCTGCACTAGAGGTTGTGGGATTTGAGGCCAACGAACCTGAGCCTCAAGCACCTTCCTTTTTGGGGCTCAGGGTTAATTCAATCATCGGGCCGGGGCCTTGCGACGTTGAGAAGCCCAAGGGGGGTTTGTCCATTTGCCAAAAGCATACGTCTTAGTTTCCCCTGGTTTAAAGGGAACCTATCTCTGCTGGAGGTGTTCTTGTTTATCAGGTGACGCTTAATTGGTTTGGGACTTGAACTTTTGGCTTTTGTAGCGGGTGAATTGGTTTCCCCCACCTTAACCACGGCCAAACCACCGATTCGGCTCCCAACCACCCTTTTCGAGGGAGGATGGGAGACTTATGGAGGGCTCCAAACGGCCCGTGATGTGAAGTTGTAACCAGATGTCACCGTGAAGGCTTTGTCTTCCGATGGACTTCGCGCCCAGATTCACCTGGACTTCATAAGGCTTCAATCCCCAAGAGGATATTTCTCTCAAACACGTCTCTTGTTCATGGGGGGTCCCTCTCAAAACATCTCTTCCCGGGGGTTTCTCTCAAAACGTCGCTTTTTTCCGAGGGTTTCTCTCAAAACGTATCTTTTTCCCGAGGGTTTCTCTCAAAACGTCTCTTTTTCCCGGGGGTTCCGGTCGTTTCGGCGCAGCCGAAACGACCGTTGCTCCGCGTTGAACTGCCGAGACGCACGTCTACAAGACCCCCGGGGACGCCTTCCCAGAGCCCGTGGGCCAGCAAGAGCTGCCGGAGAATCTCCGCCTGGAGCTGCTTGGATCGAGTACCCTGAAGGTACACGCTTCGCTGTTCTTGGCATGTTTTTTGGTTTTTTAGTTTTTTGGTTCTGTTCATTTTGACTAAAGTGTTTTGTTTTTTGGTTCTGTTCCTTTTTACTGGGGGTCTGCAAAACACACAGTTTTTTTTGCTACCATACCAAGAGTAGAGATGAACGAGATGGAGGAGATGGTTGTCTTTTGTGTTAAGGTTGCCCCCCCCCCCAAAAAAATATATATAAAATAATCGCGTTTCAAACCCACCAATATCTTCCATCTGCTTCCTTGTTTTCCAGGAGGCTTTCATTTTCCTTCTTTTTTTTAAAGGGGGCTTAAGCAAATGGAGGAGATAGGGGTTGTCTTTTGTTTTAAGGTTCGACCCCCAACAAAGGGCCTCGGACTTTGAGTAGAGTTGGCTGGGGTTGACATTTTGGGGGAGCTGGGAACAATCTGTATTATTCTGCGGGCCTTTACACAAAAAAAAGAAAAGGAATCCAGCATGTCACGGTATGTTGCGGCAATCTGGAATTATCAAAATAGCTTAATCATGCTGTAAGCAATTCCAGCCCTGAGCAGTCTTGTTTTGTTGCAACCAACGGTCAACGGATCCCCCAGCAGATGGACACGGCATCACTTCAGTCACAGTGCAGGAACCAGTGTTGCGACCGAAGGGTTCTAAAGCCAAGTGTCGTCTGCATACTATAGTTTGCACTGCCGCACTTTCAGACCAAGCCAGAGCCCACATTTGTCCATTTCGGTTGGTTTATGCGGGGGCCCGTTGCAAGCGGACCATGGTTTCAGCCGCCCCTTCTAGAGGATTTCCGCCCCGGAAATCGAGAGCTCGCGGGATTTCTGAGGCTGGAGGAGGATGAGTCTGACGATGAGAAGAGCCCACTTGCGCTGAAGGCGGTGAAGTAGGAATCTTTGCGGATGAATCAATGGGGCAGAAGTCCTCAAAAGCCTTTGTCTGAAGCTGGGTGTTCTAGATCCCTGGGCTCCAGAGCTGTTGCTTGGCTTCCAGCACTCATGGAATACGTTCTGGATGTCTTTGTGGTTGCTGGCAAGGCCGCGGGGAAACAGCAGCAAACTACAGTGAAGAGTGAAAACTTCGTACTGTTGACCGCTGAAGTTGGCGAGGCACAGCAGCTTGTTGCCAGCCTCCAAACTGAAGTCAAGCTTCTTCTAGATCTCCAACATTCTCCAACGATTGAAACCCTAGTCTGAGTGTGTTGGCTCAACACAAGTTGCAGATTGGTCGGGGCACACGGCTTTCGGGGAACATTGACCATTGGACCTCCAAGTTTAGACCCGATGCGGATTGTGGTGCTAAACTGCCAGATATTCCCCAAGGGAACCAACAGCTCTGGGCCTTTTGGCTTGAAATGTGAGTTTCCTTTGAGCGGAGGGCTGACTATTTGTGTTTCCTTCCAGCCCCTCTCCAGAACACAGCTTTGCGCTTTTGGTGGATTTCACCGGTTCTTCCCTTCTGGGTTCTTTTTTTAGCACTCTTTTAGTAGCCTTCTAGTATGCTACAGGGGTGGATCCACAAAAACCGCTTCCACCCCCTCAGCTCCCTCCGCTCCCTCCGCTTCCCCTGGACTCGTAGGCTGGCAAGGGCGGCGGCATGTTGGGATTGACGCTGCCCGGGGTGAAGCAGAAGCAGGAAAGCCCAGGCCGAATGGGCCATGGCGAGGCAAAACTGGACGTGGCCGGTGTGTTTGCTTGGACGTTCTACCGAAGCAGCTTAGAACCATGGTGATTGGAGCTAACCCCAGTTCTAGCCAAATCTACTCCTCCCCCAGGCTGGAAGCTCGCAGGAAACCTTGAAAAGACTTGGTTGCATTTGCGGAGGTCTCTTGGGAGCTTCCATGTTCTGCGGGAGGGTAAGTGGGTTGAACATCCAAGTGACAAGTGTGTTGGATTGGATGTGTTCCACGGGAAAGCGAGAGGACTTGAAAGGGAAGGCCTTGTCACTTGACGCACCCACATGTCAGGCTTGCTTGACGGAGCCTGATTTGGCTGGGTTTAGGCATTTCCTTTAACTCATGTTCCATATGTTCCGAGGGGGCAGTGGGAAGTAGCTAAACCCCCCGCCTTTTCACGGAATTTGACTGGAAGGCAACACAAACACTCCAAAGATGTTTGCCTCAAGTAGCCTGCAGTCTGCCATGTGGCTGGAAATTCCCACCCGCCAGGCAAACTGCGTGCTTCAGTGGCCCTGCGGCGACTGGACCTTCCTTCCATGCGCCTCGGGAGTCCCGATGGTCGCCGCTGTGCGTGTTGTGTGTGTGTGTGTGTGCGGGTGAGTGTGTGGTTATTCTTCTCTTTTTTGGCGTTGTTTCTTTGTTTTGGTGTTCTTCTTTGTTTCTTTGTTTGTGTTTGCATTTGCGTTTTTGTTTGTTTGTGCTTGTGTTTTTGCTTGTGATTTGTGCTTGTGTTTTTGCTTGTGATTGTGTTTGTGTTTGTGTGTTGTTTTTGTGCGTGTGTGTGTGTGTTATGCGTGTTTTGTTTGCGTGTGTGTTTGTGCGTTTGTGTTCTTTCTTTTGTTTTATTTTCTGTATTTTCGATGGGTGTGTGTGTGTGTGTGCGTGCGTGTGTGTGTGTGTAATCGTGTGTGTGTGTGTGCGTGTGTGTGTGTGGTTTTGTGTGTGCGTGTGTGTTTTCGTGTGTGTGTGTGTGTGTGCGTTTTGTGTGTGTGTGTGTGCGTTTTGTGTGTGTGTGTGTGTGTGCGTGTTTGTGTGTGTGTGTGCGCTTTGCGTGTGTGTGTGTGTGTGTGTGTGTGTGTCTGTGTCTGTGTCTGTGTCTGTGTCTGTGTCTGTGTCTGTGTCTGTGTCTGTGTCTGTGTGCGTGCTTGTCTGTGTGTGTTTGTGTGCGTGTGTGTTGTGCGTGTTTTGTTTGTGTGTGTGTGTGTTGTTTGTGTGTGTGCGTGTGTGTTGTGCGTGTTTTGTTTGTGTGTGTGTGTTGTTTGTGTGTGTGTGCGTTTGTGTGTGTGTATGTGTGTGTGTATTTGTGTGTGTTTGTGTGTGTGTATGCATGTGTGTGCGTGTTGTGTGTGTTTTGTGTGTTTTTGATGTGTGTGTGTGATCGTGTGCGTGTGTTTTCGTGCGTTTTTTTTCTTCTTCGTGTGTTTGCGTGTGTGTGTGTGTGCGTTGTTGTTTTTGTTTGTTGTTTTGTTTGTGTGTGTTGTTGTGTTATTTTGTGTTGTTGCGTTTTTGTTGTGTGTGTGTGTGTGTTTGTGTGTGTGTGTGTTTGTCTGTGTGTGTGTGTTTGGGTTTTGTGTGTGTGTTATGTGTGTGTGTGTGTTTGCTGTGTGTGTGTCTGTGCGCGCGTGCGTGCGTTAGATTTGTGTTTGTGCGTGTTGTGTGTGTGTGTTGTTTGATCTGTGTGCGTGCGTGTGTGTGTGTGTGATCGTGTGCGTGTGTGTGTGTGTGTGGTTTTGTGCGTGTGGTTTCGTGTGTGTGTGTGTGTGTGTGTGTGTGCGTGTGTGTTGTGTGTGTTTTGTTTGTGTGTGTGTTGTTTGTGTGTGTGCGTTTGTGTGTGTATGTGTGTGTGTATGTGTGTGTGTGTGTGTGTGTGTGTTTGTGTGTGTATGCATGTGTGTGCGTGTTGTGTGTGTGTGTGTGTGTTTGTTTTTGTGTGTTTGTTTTTGTGTGTTTTTGTGTGTTTTGTGTGTGGGTGTGTTTGGTGTGTGTGTGTGTGTGTGTGTTTGTTTGGTGTGCATGCGTGCGTGCGTGCGTTGTGTGTGTGTGTTTTGCGTGTGTGTGTGTGTGCTTGTGTGCGGGATTTGCTGTGCAAAAGGCACGCCCACATTCTCCTGCCAGTCTAGAAGCCGGCAGGCCGCAGATGCCCTTGGCACCGCTGCCTCCAACAGAGCCGGAGCCCATCGAGGACTGGCCGCTGCAGCTCATGGGCGAAGAAAAGGACAAGGAGCTCCAAGACGCGGCAGGCCCGGAGACTCAGGGAAAGAGGAGGTTGGGTAAGGTCTGCCCGAAAGACTGACCATGCTTGGTTTTTGTGTTTGTTGTTTGTGCGTTTGGCAGGTTGTCGAGATGCATTTTGTTCGTTGCGTCTGCAAGTTGGAATGATGTGTTGGAGTTGTTGCTTTTTGCAGAGGGGCGGATTGTTTTGTTGAGAGGCCATGCCTGCCCCAAGTCGAGACCAGTTTTTGTGGAAGCCGGATGGCTGAAATGAGTCCATTTAGTTGGGATGCCTCCAAAGTAGTACGGCAAACTTGTTGAAGTCAGGCAAGAGCAGCCGTGTGCATTTGCAGGATGGGGCTGTGTGTGTATAAGCGTGTGTATGTGGCTGGCATTCCACGGAGAAGTGCTTAAACACGTTCAACTTTTCCCAGAGAAGTGCTCAACACATTGGAAGCTAGATAGGCCAAGTTCTCACCTGCAGGGCGACGCGCTTGCGTGCACGTCTTCAAGCTTCATGTGTCGTATTGTCTCTTTGGCACATGTCCCGGATCGTGCCACACGCAACGCTGCGGAGTGATTGCCCTGACAAGGAGCATCGGCTGGGTTGCCTGTCGGAATGATGTTTACTGGAATGACCACTGCCAACCGCTGAGAATCCTGACATGCGTCAAACACAATTATCGCATTTCCAGATGCACGGTGCTGACTCTTGTGACGCGGCAGCAGCAGCAATAAAGCCGCGGCCTTCGCCAACAACAGCCGCACCAGCAACAAGATTAACGATAACGCCAACGCATTCGCGTGCCAACGCCAACACCAACGACAACCGCAACGCCAACCACGACAACAAGAACAAGAACAAGAACAACCACAACGACGACGACGACGACGACAACAGCAGCAGCAGCAGCAGCAGACCAGCAGCAGCAGCAGCAGCAGCAACAACAACACCACAACAACCACACCAACACCAGTACCACCACCTCCAACAACAACAATCACGACCACAACCACAAGAACAACAACAATAAGAACAAGAACAACATGAACAAGACCAATAGCAATAACAACAATAGCGACAACAACAACAGCAGCAACAACAACAACACCAGCAGCAGCAGCAGCAACAACAACAACACCAGCAGCAGCAACAACAGCAGCAGCCGCAGCAGCAGCAACAGCACCACAAACACAACGAGAACCACAACAGCAGCAACAGCAAATGCGACTGCGACTGCGACCGCAAGTGCCACTGCAACTGCAACTGCAACTGCAACTGCGACAGCAGCAAAAGCAGCAAAAGCAGCACCAGCACCAGCACTAGCAACAGCTGCAGCAACAGCAGCAACAGCAGCAACAGCAGCAGCAACAGCAGCAGCAACACAGTGATCGTCACCATCATCAGCAGCATCATCATCATCATTACCAGCGCCATCATCATCATCGTCATCATCAGTGTCACCACCGTCATCGTCAACATCAAACCGCAACTGGATACGGTTATGATGTCAATTGAGACCCTCACAGACGGTTAGTGGACAAAACTCGCCATATGCGGCACTGGCCACTCTCTTCCGCATATGGCTTGCAAAGAACCACGCATAGCACACGTGTCGCAACTGTTACGAGAGCATGTAAAACGGTACACAAGCCAAAAACAAGTGTAGCAAACATTGCACGCACTTCCTGCTGCAAAGCCTTAAACTTTCAGTCACTGACTGCAACGTTGCCAACACAGAGTTAAGCATCTAGGCTTGGGAGCTATGGAAGTGGACTTCGCCTGATAAGCTTGCACACCAAAGGCGGTAAGAAACCACATGTGCATCCATGCAGTTTGGTCACTGGTTTGCTGCGACCTCATATTCGGGTCCAAGCACGTAATTATGCGCGATTCTTCCCCCGTTCAAAGGAGTTCAGGCATTTTTTGGCTTCTGGGCGCTTAGGTTTCGGCCCCTTGGCGGCACTGACGGGGGCTGCTTGGCTGCGCGTCGCGCGGCGCCGGCTCATCATGTCGCGCCAGTCCCAGGAGCCACCGGCCGATTTGGCTTAGGGGGCCCCAAACAAGTTCAAGTAAACCGGCTTCAGCGTGTGAAGCGAAGGATGTCCACTTCGCAGGAGACGCCCCTCAAGTTCAATCAGGTCTTTGCCAATGCTGCATTCCTAATTCCATCCAATTCCCCTTTGTTGAATGGAAGTGGCGAACAAGAGGTTCCTTAAAGGAAAGCCGGTTTCCAAATGCCTGGAAGCTTCCACGGTCGCACGTATTGCAGTTGCCATCCTGCGTCCCCAGTTGCTCTGTTTAAAGGGGTGAGCTTTTGAGTTTGTACGCCCAAGTCACGCATAGCTGGCTCCATGCTCAACCCAATTGAATTGCAGAAGTCCAGGTCCGGTCCAGTCAGCCCGGAGCTTTGGAGGGGTCGTGGCTGTGAAGCCACGACAGAACCTTGAAATTGGGGGCTGCCCAGAGCATCCTGGCTTTGATGCAGTGACATTGGGCAATGACACACAAACACCGGAGCTGACATCACACACGCACACACACACACACACACACACCCGCACACACCCGCCCGCACCCGCACCCGCACCCGCACCCGCACCCGCACCCACACACACACACACACGCGCGCGCGCGCGTGTGTGGGCGCGCATTGTGCCATTCACTTATCAGTCCTATATATAGCTGGCCAGGAGTACACACACGAGCAGCCGCTGAACGACGTTTGCGGCGGCTGTGCTGTGCGGGCGAATGATCCCTTCGTCAAGGAGCCAAGCCAAAAAATATTGCGCTCTCAGAAGCCGCGTCAGGATCGAGCATGCCCCTGCCATGACATAGACAAATGCAATGGGCGATGTTTTTTTTTTTTTTTTTTTTTTTTTTTTTCCGATTGACAGTTGGACAAAAGCATGCATTTCTTTTCCATCACGCAACATGATTTGCCACGGTTTTGATTGCCAGAGCGCAGCTTTGCTTGTGTTAGGGGGGGTCATTTCAGCTTGACTTAGATGTGACAATATGAATCAACGTGTCGGAGACTTGCCTTGTTTTTTGGCATGTTTTACCGGTGAGAATCCTGACGTAGCTCAACGCCCATGCATTCATCTAGAGGGCAATCAGCTGAGTCCGTATAGCACATGGGTATATGTCAGAAAAGATGGACAACCCCCTCCCCCCCGCACCCTCCGACTACTGCCCAGTGACCGGTAGATAGAATATTCCCAAAAAAGACCGTAGCTAGAAGAACTACCGGCTTTCTTTATATTTGCGGGATGTGGATGGTCATGACTCGCAAGTGACAGCGTGTCAGTGACATGCAGGACTTGCGTGTCACCCCGTGTCATTTGCGTGTCACCTGCGTGCATCCTGCGTGTCACCTGCGTGTCAGTGTGTCAGAACAACAGTCGATCGCTGCAAACAAGGGTAGTTTGAGCGTGTCACTGCGTGTCACCCCGTGTCACTTGCGTGTCACCTGTGCGTTGCGTGTCACCTGCGTGTCAGCATGTCAGAACAACAGCCGATGGCTGCAAACAAGGGTAGTTTGAGCGTGTCACTGCGTGTCACCCCGTGTCACTGGCGTGTCACCTGTGTGTTGCGTGTCACCTGCGTGTCAGCATGTCAGAACAACAGTCGATCGCTGCCAAAAAAACGGTTAAACGGCAGATTGAGCGTGTCATCCCGTGTGACTTGCGTGTCACCTGCGTGTAACCTGCGTGTCACCTGCGTGTCGGTCTGTCAGAACAACAGTCGATCGCTGCAAACAACTTTGAGCGTATCACCCTGTGTCACTTGCATGTCACCCCGTGTCACTTGCGTGTCACCTGCGTGTCACCTGCGTGTCACTGCGTGTGACCTGCGTGTCAGCATGTCAGAACAACAGTCGAGCGCTGCAAACAAGGGTAGTTTGAGCGTGTCACTGCGTGTCACCCCGTGTCACTTGCGTGTCACCTGTGTGTTGCGTGTCACCTGCGTGTCAGCATGTCAGAACAACAGCCGATCGCTGCAAACAACAGTAGTTTGAGCGTATCACCCCGTGTCACTTGCGTGTCACCCCGTGTCACTTGCGTGTCACCTGCGTGTCAGCATGTCAGAACAACAGTCGATCGCTGCCAAAAAAACTGTTAAACGGCAGATTGAGCGTGTCATCCCGTGTCACTTGCGCGTCACCTGCGTGTCAGTATGTCGTGTCACTGCGTGTCACCTCGTGTCACTTGCGTGTCACTTGCGTGTCACCTGCGTGCATCCTGCATGTCACCTGCGTGTCAGTGTGTCAGAATAACAGTCGATCGCTGCAAACAACGGTAGTTTGAGCGTGTCACCCCGTGTCACTTGCGTGTCACTGCGTGTCACCTGCGTGTCACTACGTGTCACCCGCGTGTCACCTGCGTGTCACCACGTGTCACCTTTGTATCGGGGCGTCAGAAGGGGTAGGGAGGTAAGCTTGTTTGTTAACTTGGTTTTTTACTGTTTGGGAAACAACCGTAGATCAGGGACCAATTGATTTTTTGTTTTATTTGCGGAACTAGTGCCAAATAGACGGTAGTTACGAAAGAAAAACGAAAGCAGTATAAAGCAGTAGTCGGAGGGTGCTAGCCAAAATGGAGTGGGGGTTGGTTTCCCTCTAAACTAGCCTCAAAGAGGGAACCCTCAACCAAAACACGCGCACACACACGCACGCACACTGGGATCGAAAGTCAGTACTACTGACACAATGTCCGGGTGCATCAGCATTCTGCCAACCGATGGGCTTGGGCTTGGGAATTCACGCAGAGAGCGAGCCCTTCTTCTGGCCAAAGACTCGGAGATCCAAAATGCAGAGGGATTGCGCACTCTTCGGCCTGACAAAACTTTCAATCTTGCCTGGAGCGATCATCCCACAAAAACAAGTCCTTATTGCACAAACAGCAGCAGCCAGCAGGAACATTTTCAAGGTAGCTGCACGGTGGCGTCGCAACTGTTGCTGCACTTTGTTGCAACTTCCTCAATCGGCGTTTGCCTGCTGCACGGCGCATGCGCTTTGCAGGGATCGTTGTTTTGCAGACATCAAGGTGCAAGTGTGTGGAATTCCCCCGGCCATGAAAAACCTGGCATGCGGGATGAGTGAGGCATCACTCAGATTCCCTGTGTCAAAGGTGGATGGCAGGGAAGCTGCAAACAATGTGAGCCCGGCAAACAGGGAAAATGCCGCCCACCCAAGTGTTTGCCGGCACTTCAGGAACACCAGGTTTTGGCACAGTCAAATCTGAAATCTGAAAGCTGTGAATTGTGTGTTTTGTTTCCCCTACCAATAAGTGCACTATGACTAAAACGTTATTTCTCACGGACTCGGACTCCAGCTTTGTAAAATGGTCACGCAAAACAATGAGCTTGCAATATCATATTCAACATTGCACAATTCAATTTCATGTGCGCCGTTCAATGTGTGATGGACAACAGCAACTTGCATTGAACAAACCTGTCCTCGGGCGGAAAGTTGACGATGCTGCTTGTTTGTGCTCGGGAAATGCGGGGCATTCAGACACATGTGCATATATACATATGTATATATATATATGTACATACACACACGCACGACATGTACATGCACGCACCCTCAAAAAAGCAATTGCCACAGGTTGGTAACGCGGGGAAGACATGCGCGTTTATCGCTTGTTCTTTTCCCGTTGCCTGGGTGCCACCTTTCTGATTGAATGTTTAGGATGAAACACTTTTATTTTTGATTGAATTTTGGTAGCTGTCGGCTGTCCGCAACGCTTTTTCTTGTTCTCGCAGGAGCGGATCGGCGTGTGGCAACACGGGCCGCGCTTCAAGGTGTACTTTGTGGGTCAATTGAGAGCTTTGATGACGAGCTTCGAGCGCCACTACAACGCACCTTGGCGGAAAGCCAAATCTTGGTGGTGCTCAGCAGGGAATGAGGGAATGACCCTTATACACCATCCCTTGTGGTTTTCTTTAAGGGAATTCCCAGGTTCATTCCCTCATTTTGTACTGAGCACCAGCAGGAGCAAACAAAGCCGGCGGGTGATTGGCTCTCCAACCAAATAATCTTAAACGTACCAGCCTTCATTGTCGTCAGGGACACCCGAATGAAGTTAGCCTCACGCTGAGACACAGCGCCCATCGAATTTCTAGGGTGTGCTGCTGCCGATTGCTCGCATTTGCAGCGGGTGTGTCATAGGTGCGACTATGGGGGATCATGCAACTGGTATCTCACAGTTTGGTTCTTTGGCCCTTCCGGAGTTTCGTCATGTCCGCTGGCTTGGCCAAGGTTGAAGTGTCAAACCTTGGCCAGTGGACTCTGAATGCGCTCCATTGCCTGTTGCATACCTAAATCCCCAGATGGTGCTGGAGACGCGGAGCGGGAGGTTAGTGCTACATACACTTTTGTTCGCAGGTGCTGTGAGCAATGGAGCGTCTTTGCCCAGGATCGTGCCCCTTTTTCCCGGGTGATGAGTATGGGTGGCCATGAACAACTAGGTCCCCTAGTAGGGCCCTTTTACCCTTTTTTGGGGGAGGGTTCCCGTACTAAATTAGACTACAGGAAAAAAAAGGTGCCCTTATTCTAACCTCTCTACTGGAGGACCGGGACAAATTTGTGAATGTGCAAATAGATGCTCTGGGATGTGTATGTACCTCTGTGGATTTGCTTTCCTGCTCAGTATCGAGAGTTGCAACCTGCGTGGGGCAGAGCAGCGTCGCGCGTCGCCTTGTGGGGGGGGGGGGGTTATTCCCGAAAGGCTTGTCACTGCGTTTGGGCCCTGTGGCCATGACAACCATCCATCAAAACCAGACGCGGTCAAAGAACTGTTGGTGCATTACTGCTGTTTTTCCTGTTACCCGTGAGCTCTTTTTTGCTTTTTTCTCGCGAGGGCTTTGGCAGCAACCCTATCCTCATCCTGGGATTGAAACCATCCTTGACACAATGGGGGTCCCTATATCAGAGAGCCCTTAATGGTGCACGCTGTAACGGGTTTGGAGGTCAGGCAGTTTCAGGCAGAAACAGCCCAAGCCCGATAAACCCTTATGCTCTGGGAGGTGTGCGCCAGTCAAAGAATATGTTTGTCTCCAGTTTTTCCTTGGCCGGTTTTCTGACCGCTGTAGCATGGTTGTTGTTGGGAAACGAACTTGCATTTTTGCTTATTGTGGTTTAGTGGGAAATCCCCACTTAACTGCGAAAATTATTTTTTTGCTCCCCTTTCAACGTCAACCAAGGTAGCCCAAACTCCGCCTTTCAATTCGCACATGGAAGCTCTGAGGTGCCTCCCATGCCATTCGTCCCTCAGCCCGCGCCTGAGGATGGAGTTCTGCCTATGGCGAGCTCACCGATCCGGGGGTAAAACGAGCGAAAGCGAGAATATCCTTCAAGCAGTCCTTTTTTCAGGTGTTAGAAATACAATAAAGTTTGGAGATGGATCCTTTTTGGGGGATAAGCATGTGCTCAAAGATGTGCTTCACCCTGTCAAGTGAATTGAGCCAAAGGTCCGGCTCAGGTATGCTTCTACCCTTTTGGAACGTCGGGTAGGATTTTAGACTTGTTTGCCAAGGCAAAGGAAGCGCGCTTTGGAAATGAATTGAGAAAAAACATGAGGGCTGGGCCTGTTCCATCAAGGTGGGGCTGCCCAAGTGGCGCCCAAATTCTCGCTGTCAGGCAGTGGCAGAACTGGCTGGACCGGCACAACGCCTACCAGACCCTTTGCGTGCGCTGTGCCTTAGAGAGGGGCTTGGACCCCCCTCCTCCGCAAGAGGCCGGAGAGAGTTTGCAGGTGGATTTTGTTGATTCATTGGCTTGCGCGAGTCGCAGTGACCTCGTTCTTTCTTCTTCTTCTTTTTTGTGGGGTGGAGGGGGGCGGGGGGGGGGGTGTAAATTGGTGTCATCTAGGATTATCGTGTTTTCTTCGTCTTCTTGGGGTGGGGGTCACAGGGGTCCCTTTTTGTAGCTTGGTGAGGGTTGGCGTTTCCTGCACGAATGGCCCACACACGCTGGACCATCACTGGCCGAAGCCTGAGAAATGCCTAGGTACCCTGGTGAGGTTGGTTGGAATTCGATGCTGCAGAAGCAGGGAGCTTGCTGAGGTGGATGGTTTCCTCGAGGTTTCCCTTTGAAGCCATCCGAAAAGGGGAATAGGCCCCGATGGCCTAGGACTCATTTACCAGCGCCATCTATTGTGCCAGTGCCACCGACTGGTTGCATCACAAATCGAGATGCAGAGGCCAGTCATGTTGGAACCCGGAACAAAGCTGAAGCTCGTTAGCCAATCAGAGAGATCTTTCAGGTCTGCGGTTTCTGAGCTTGGCCAAAGCTCTTAAACTGAACCTTTGTATCATATTGAGTTGGACAGCCTCCTGTTTGCCTTCAGAAACATTTGGCCCAACGTCGCAAGATTGAAACCTTGGGCAATGCGGAATCTTTGGAGGACATGCTAGGCCCATCCTCTGTCAAGTCTGCAAGCCCGTCAACAGCGAAGATCATCGCCAGCTTGTCGCGCCAAAAGCTGCGCACCAACTTGTTGTATGTCGCAAACATTGGGCGGCGCAACTGTGTTGCGCAGTGTGCGATGAAGTTGGCGCATGTCTGCCAAGCCCTATGCCCAAGGCATGGCTTCGTGAGTTTGGCCCATGTGCAGCCCTTCGAGTAGTTTCGTCCAACAAATGCCTTGCTGTTAAGTTGCCCCCAATTTGTCCAGCTCAATTGAAAGGAAGTGCCGTGAAAAAGCAGTGGCGATCCCAGGTCTTCTGGCGCCCGTTTGGGTGGTTCAAGCATTACCTTGCGGGGAATTGAAGAGTGAGTTTCCTTGAGGCAAGCTAAGGCGACACCTCAGTTTTTGTTTGAGAACGGGGCATGTCCGGAAAGACGAGAGGCGCAGACCCCCTCGCAGCCGACCACGCCCAAAGCGCTGCCAGCGCCCCCCACGCGAGACCGGGAGGCGGGACGAGGCATAGCAGGAGTGATTCGCCACTGTTGGCATGTTTTTACCCCAAGGGTCATGCCTGTTAACTTGCACGAGCTCAGGCCTTTTTTGCAATCCACAGCAAGAAGCGTTCCACGCTTCCCAAAACGGCTGTGAGTGCAGGTTGCAAGAACGAAGCTCTCTTGATCAAACTGGGGCATGAAAACGGCGGCTCACTTGGGGCAATAGCAGCCCCCAAATAAGCTGTCGTGTTCATGCCCCAGTTTGACCAAACACGTTTCGTTTCTGCAACCTGTACTCACAACCGTTGTTGGAAGCCCGGAACGCATCTTGCTGTGACAAGGCCTTGCAACAAGGTCGGGAACCGAGCTCGACTTTCCAAACCCAGGACCCAGGGTTGAAATTGAACAAAGTTGGGCTATCGTCAGTTTCTGCGCACCTGTAGCGCCATATGAAGAAACTCGGTTCAATTGTTGAGACCCCGTAAATTGGAAGAGTTCTGAGAATAGCCCAGTCTCCGATCTCATCACCGAGATGGGTGATAGGAGGTAGCAGCAAACATGTCAAGACTCACGACTCCTCGGGTCTTTTTTTCTTCGAACTGAGTCCGCTAAGTTCCAACCAATTTCAACCTTCGACCGTTTCTCCAAACTCGGGCTGTTGCGATTGGAGAATCTCCGAACTATGGCCCGTTGTCTCCAAACTCAGTGAGGGCAGTTTGCAGATGCTCCAAACTCAGGCTCGTAATCTCCAAACTCTAGCCTCTAGCCAATTTCTCGCAACTCAACCTGAGTTTGGAGAAACTCAGGCTCGAGTTTGAAGATTTCCAAATTCGGGTCCGAGTTGCCAAACCCAGGCCCGTTTTCCCCCAACTCAGGCCCATTGGGGCCTGCGTTCACTCTTTAAAGTCAGGCTCCTTTTCTCCAAATTCAGCCTTTTTTTCTCTAACTCAGCCCGTTTTCTCCAAACCGTGGATGACTACTGAGGCACGTGTTCTCCAAAAACTCAGGCCCGAGTTTCGAGAATCTCGAAAGCCAGGCATGTTTTTTCCCAAACTCGGGCCCGAGCTTGGAGAATCTCCAAGCGCACCGCCCGAGCTTGGAGAAAACGGACCTGAGGTTGGAGATTCTCCAAACTCGAACTGAGTATCGAATTTGGCAAACTCGGGCCCGAGTTTGGAGAAAAAGGGCTCGAGTTTGGAGATTCTCCAAACTCAGGCCCGTTTTCTCCAAACTCGGGATGAGTTTGGAAATTCCCCAATCTCGGCCAGATTTTCTCCAAACTTAGGCCTGTGTTCGGAGATTCTCGGAGATTCTCCAAACTCAGTTCGGAGATTCTCCAAACTCAGTTCGGAGATCCTCCAAACTCAGCTCGGAGATTCTCCAAACTCAGTTTGGAGATTCTCCAAACGCCGGCCCATTTCCTCCAAACTCGGGTGCGCTTGGACCGCTTGGAGATTCTCCAAGCTCGGGCCCGAGTTTGGAGAAAACGGGCCTGAGGGGAGATTTTCCGAACTCGGGCCCGTTTTCTCCAAACTCGGGGTGAGTGTAAATTGGAGATTCTCCGAACTTGGGATTCTTTCTCCAAACTTTTTTCTCCAAACTCTGAGTTTGGAGATTCTCCGAACTCGGGCCCGATTTCTCCAAACTCGGGGTGAGTTTGGAGATTCTCCGAACTCGGGCCCGTTTTCTTCAAACTCGGGGTGAGTTTGGAGATTCTCCAAACTTAGGCCCGTTTTCTCCAAAAACGGGCTGAGTTTGGAGATTCTCCGAACTCGGGCCTGTTTTCTCAAAACTCGGGCTGAGTTTGCGGATTCTTCAAAGTCAGGCTTGTTTTCTGCAAACTCAGGTTCAGTTTAGAAGTTCTCCAACCTCGGGCCCTGTTCCTCCATTTTCCAAACTCGGAGAGCTTCTTGGCTTCGTACAAAGAGTTTGGACTAACCAGGACTGACAAGTCTTCTTCAAACTCAGGCCCATTTTCTGCAAACTGGGGCCTGCGTTTGGAGATTCTCCAAACTCAGTTCGTTTCTCCAAACTCGGCCCGGGCTTGAGATGATTCTCCAAACTCAGTCAGGGCTGTTTTCTCCAAAGTTGGCTTGAGTTTGGATAATCTTCACGCTCAGGCCCGTGTTTTGCAAACTCGCCTGGCTTTGCGTGCGAAGACGCGTTTCGCAAATGTATTGGTGGCGACTATCCGCTTTTCGATGGAAATTGAATGGGTCAAACAAGGGTTTTGTTTGGTCAATATAGACAAGACTAAGTTTGGCAAATTTCGAAACTCAGGCTGAGTAAAGGCCAACTGTAGGGACCCCCAAATTGATTTCTCAGGGCTGAGTTGGGAGAAAGCGAGCTTAAGTTTGGAGAGCTTGGAACATCTCCAAGCTCAGGCTAAGACGTGGAGAAAAGCAAGCCTAAAATTGGGGCACATTCCAAACTCTTCCGTAGTTTTGGAAACCTGAAGGCGAACTTACAAGCGAGCAATATCCTCAGAAATCTGCAACTCCCCAAGGAAAAGGGCTGCGCCATCGTGATGTAGTCACTTACCCTATTCCGGAACACGAACACTGCTCGGAGCAAATGGGAGCAGCGCTTCCCGAGACAAGCTTGCTAAGGTATGTCCGCATGTTTTGACAGAAATTTGGAGTCCTTGTTTGGCGTGTGTTTTGCTGGCACAAGGCTTGATTGGCCCGGATAGCATTGAAACGGCATGCTGTGGCATGGTCCAAGCAGTCTTCGTTACCGGTTGAACACCTTTGTGTTTTTTGGTTGCAAAAACGTAATCTGAGCTGCTTGAGGCACTGGAAGAGTGGTGGTGTGCGCTATTTTTCTGAAACCCTTGGAACGCTTCTGCAAACTATTCCCCGGGACCTCGCGCAAGTTAACAGTCATGCCCCCTCCCCTTTGCAAACCCCCAAGCCCCTCTAATGCAGAACCCCACCCTGTAAGGGCCCTCAAAAACAACAGCCTCCTCAGTCGGGACTCTTAGAGATGAATGTTTGTTTTCTTTAGTTTTGTTCAGGCTTAGTAGGGGGCTGCAGGCTGGAAAAGCCCAAAGGCTGTTTGTTATGCCATACCAAAGGATGGTTCTTTCGCAAATGCGAGCAGAAGGGTGGTTCGGGACCAGCTCTGTGTCCTAATCCCCCACCGCAGCAGGGTTCCACTTTGTGACTACCCAAGACAGACTTAAACCCAGGGGTTCTCCTTTTGGGGGGTATTGAAACACCCCCAGGTTTAAGTCTACCCTAAAGGCCCTAAAGCAGTCGAAAAATGGAGCCCTGCACCGCATGCAAAGAATTGCCTGCATTAAGCATACATCTTCGGAGGAGGTTGGTTCTCAAATGTTCTCAATCTGAAGGGAGCCGTTTGGTTTGGGAGTGAGATCCCTATGCTTGCTTATCTTTGGCATCCATCGCTTGACGGCGATGCACGAATCTGCTCATAAACCTCCGGATTCCCTTTTGCCCTACTGTGGATGGACGAAATCATGCACCACTGTGAGACCACGGGAAACCAGTGTTTGTGGGCATTTACAGGGGAATCTGCATTTCAGGGTTTCTTAGGTGGTGCGAGATGGATTTCGTCCACAAGCAGTAGGGTGCCCTCACGCAGCCTAGGGAAGTGAAAGGTTCGGTTTCCAGCCTTCTGGGGAATGCACATGTAACATTGTGCTGACTGAACGCCCGGCCAACGAGTGTACATCGGTGCCCGCCCGTTTCAGGAAAGCACAGACAGTGAGGAAGAGGAGGCCACGGATTCATGCGGTGCGGAATGGGGGATCCAGCGGCCAGATCAGTTGAGCGTTAACCCTGATATTTGTTGCGAAATGGTGTTTGGGCCTGATTCAAGGCCCAAAACATCAACCTCGGGCTGCAGGATAGTGAAGAAGACAGCGACTCAACTTAGGTCAAGAATGAGTGCCCAGGCATAGGCCCTGTTAGCAGGCAGCAGCAGCGTCAGCACATGCACAGTTGCTTGCCCCTGGGCAGGGGTGGATGTCCCTTTGTACGCTTGGGGGCCAGCTTGTACCACAGCCAATGTTTCGCTTTTCCCTCCCGGTTCCGGTCCGCAGCAGTGGGACTGGGCATGGGCACATGGCATGTTAATCCCTTCTTTTAACCGCCAAAAGAAGAGGGACTAGATGCTTGCCAAGCCACGCACGAATGCTTAGATGAGCCTTTGGAGCCTTTAGCTGGCAGGATGTGCAAGTTGACGAAACATGAGCTGTGCTTTCTAGTCACCGGATGTAGGCCAGAAACGCCCTGGCCACGTAGTCACCCATAGGCACGACTTATATCCGATCGGAGAGGTCCCAAAGCCCTGCTTTCGTGGAACTAGCGTTGCTTGGCATGGAGCTAGCTCATTCAAAAAAAATGAGGAAACATGTGCCGTAAGGGTTGTTCCAGATGCACTGGTAAAAGAGTAGGCATAGCATCTCAACATGCCACAGTCAGTGTCTCTAAGACTGGCACTCAGAATTTGAAGGACATGCTATCCTTTGCATCCATCCTGTCGTTGCTATGTTGCATGGCACTTCGTGTTAGAAAGTCGAACTCTCCTTGTTCCCTATTTGAAAGTCGTCCGAAAGGTCCTTGCATTCAGGTATTCGCGCTGGAGGTCGCGAAAGTTGTTTGTCTCCAATGTGGCTGTGGCTCAAAATTTAAGAGCCAGGGTTACGCAGGTGTTGGTCTTGGTTCCATTTACCTCCACTTACCTAGGGGCCATTTTGGGTACATTTTTTGAGCCACAGCCACGTGTGTGTAAAGGTGGTTTGCCCGGCTGCCCCAGCTGGCAGTGGGAAGAAGCTGCACACATAAAGTTGATCGGAGGAACACTCGGCCGGATGCAAGTTTCCCGAACACAGGCCAACCGCCAAGCTACTAATATATATTGCAGAGACCAAGCCTCATGAATCACAGCCCGGCATCGCAGGTCAGTGAAACGCAGCACATTGGCTACCAGGCCACACCAGCCAAAAGCCTGGGGTTCCAGAACCCGGCTTGACAAACTGGGAATCCGCTGGCTGGAAAAGCACTGAAGCCACTCCGAAACCGCTTGGATGGGAGAACTTGGCCAGGCCTTGATGCTTATGGAGGAGCAAGGGACGCCGCAACACGACGATGCCAGTGATATTGAGTTCGAGCCCGCGGAAACTGCAAGGCCGCGGGGGGTGCGGATGTTGCTACGAGTGAAAATCGGGGCGACCCCGGAAAAATACGGTGGTTTTCCTGTCGGTGTCCCTTTCAGCCCGCCTGAAGAAGTGTCCCCCTCAAGATTGCACAGGCCCCGCAAGTGTTGCATCCCTTTGCAAGGCTTCAAGGGACACCCAATGCAAAGTCTTCCCTTTGGCGTTGCATGAATTTAGTCGCTGGAAACGATACAACATGTCCTTCCCTTTTTTGTTTCTAAGATCTGTTTAACAGCTATCCGAGTAAAACAGTGGCCTTTGTATTTCATGTTTGGATGAGTGAGCCTTGTGGCTTGGATTCTGCCAGGGTCACTGAGAGGTGAACCAGCAAACCGACGGGAGATCCACCAGCAGTTCCAGCAAAGCACCAACTAGTGGAAAAAAACTGAGGCGCATTGCAGAAGCCAATATTTGCCAATTTGATTATCATGACTTGTATACAGATTCGAGGCCATGTAGCCATTGCAGCCTAATGATGACTTTGTCAACTAGAAGTGACTATTAGGCCATGAAGCGTGATGGCCTTACCACGGCCTCTCTTATGGTGGCTCTGTTCTAGAATGACTTCCGGACTCCTTAACTGAGCATGTTGGTCGTCGCAATTGTTGTTCGGAGGTGGATGGGGGCATGCACAAGTCCAACTATGCGGTCTTGTTTGTATTCGCCTAGGGGTGAGTTGACAAGAAGGCCGCAACTAATGATTGGTTCTTGCAGTGAGCAGTTTGCCCATGCGGAGAGATGAGTGTTCTCAGGCCAAGCGGCACATACGACTGCTGTTGGTTATTTCCTGGCCAGGTTCCCGAACCTCGTCAACGTGCAGGCGTTGGCCTTTGGGCCCAAGCGGGCTCGGGGAGGTTGCGTAGCTTTCGCTTTGATTGTTGTGGGTGCTTTAGATTGGGGTATTTCTAGGATCCGGGGTGGGTTCATTTGGAGAAGACTTAGGGTTGACTTAATGTTTGGTTCTTGGTAGCTTTGGCCTGTGCGCGCACTTTGCAGGAGGGCATGCCCAGCCCTCCAAGGCTAAAAGCCATTGCAACCCATGGCCCCTGGCAATTGCTTTCAATTCCTGAGTCATGGCAAGCCCACACGCCAAGGAAGCAAGAATTGAAAACGGCTATGGCACAAATGGCCCCATGCCCTTTCTGCTTTGGAGGCTTTGTTGTGAAGGATGTGCCTGCACCACTGCAAAGTGGGAGCTGGGCGAAGGAATTGCAGCTTCAGCTGATGCAAACAGGTATTTGCCGGTCTTCGGAAAGTGGCCCCTAAGATAAATGCTGCTTGCTTGCTGACTTGTGTTTTGCTTACTCGCTGGATCTCGCTTGCTTGCTCGTTTCTTCACGCTTTTGTTAACAAATACTTCATGGGGATTGGAGGACGTCGTCGCAAAGTGAGTTGTTCTTCTTCTATAGAGGCTTCTCATACACGAGCACGCATCCAGTCAGTGAAGCAACGCGCAACTGGACACCAAGCCGCGCACGGCTTTGAGCCATGACAAGCGCCTACAGCTTGAGATGGCACTGCTGCAGACTTGGGCCATGGTTGGATGTTTGATGCATTAATCTACTACAGTTCATTCATTCGAGTTTGTCCCTGGGTTTAGTGGGAAATCATCACCCTGCGAGGGGAACACGCCCCTGAAGCAGCGGGTTGGCAGGTGTCACAGCCAGCGCGAGAGATGATTGTCTACTGGGCGCGGCAAGCGCGAAGGCGCCTGAAGCGCAGGAGGACTGCCTTGAATTGAAGCCTGGAAAGCTCATCAATTATTTGCTGCATATGTTGCCCGGTGCTTCGCCTGTGGAACATCGACTGCTCCATCAAGACTGTTGTCACGAAATACCAATGGTAAACAAGTAGGGAACCAAATGAACTGGAATCATAACCACTTGGGTGCATTTTGCTTGGATGTTAGGACTTTAACTTTTTGCCAACCAATGGGTTTTCCATTAAACCACTAAAAGTTAACTTTTGGCAGGGGAGTTTCCCGAGAGACCACGCCAGCTTCGCTGGACTTGGCACTCGCGACTCGCGGTTTGCTTTTTTTTTGCCAGGACCATCCGATACCAACCGGACACGAGCTCCGAATCGGAGGAGAGTTCCGATGGCAACGACACACCAGAACTGGCAGATTGAGATGAGCATACGGCATACGCTTCTGGGTACGGAAGCGGGATGGGTATTGACTTTGGCCACGCGCATGGATGAAACTAAGATCCGGCGCAGAAAGGGTTCTTTCGTCTACAACTGACACCAGGGGAAAAGTAGATGGCGCAATCTGGTTCATGGGGGGAAGTAAAGGGTGATGGTGAAACCAAAAAGTGGAAGAGTGCCAGTTATATTCATGCATCCGAAAACTATATTAACATGTTTTTTTTTTTTATACCTGGAGACTCCTAAGGCTGAAATTTCAGCCCGAATGCCAACTGCAAGTGTGTTCAGCCTTTTTCCCCAAAAAACGCCCGAATGCAAAAAAACAGTCAGAATCCCAAAAAACAGTCGGAATCAGCGTCCGCCCGCATGCCCCGCAAACGTGCTCAAGCTTCCAAGGTTACCCTGGGGGGAGACCCATGTGGATTGGAAGACAAAACTGCGTCCATCCTCAGTTCAAGGGTCAACGAAACGTTTCCTTTTACAGCAACCACTTAGAGGGACCACGAAACCCTGGCACAGCAGCCCCACTTAGAAGAAGGGAGAACAAGCAGCCCTGACAGTGCGCTTTCATTTCAGCTCCACTCGAGCATGCATGGCCGGCTTGCAAGCCAGCAGAGAGACGTCAGAGCCGGGAGCCCCAGGTCCAAGACTCAACCTTTGCGTAGGGCCTTTTGCCTTTTCTTGGAGGCAAAATGCCGTCGGATTAGAGCTTTGGTTTTCAAGAAATACCGCTCAAACAGTCTTTTGGTCAAGGTCTTGGTGTTCACTTTGCGGGAGAGCCTTGATGTGCGCCCAGTATGATCCTCGTTCATCTCGCAAGCAAAGGTCAGCATGTTGAGTAACTTGGGCGCTGGTGACTCCAACCCCCGCCGCAGATCATACGCCAGGTGATGTAAGGCATGCAGCTTTGGCTTTAGCCTATAGGCTGACACGCCGATTGATGCACAGTAATGCGCCAGGCGCTTGTACCCTCGGATGATGGTCATGATTTGCCCGTACTGGCGCAAGCCGCAATCTCGTGAAATAAACACGCCATGTTGATAGATCTCGGTGAAAAGGGCCAGGGATGCCTGAAGGACAGTTTGCAACAGCATCAAAATGTCGAAGTGTGGGGCGATCGTATCCGAGGGGTCGCGAAGGCACAAGGACAATTGGAAGTCCAGCCACTGCAAGAGGAGCATTGTGTCGCTGCCCTTTGAATTGGCCCAGGGCGCAGAAGCCTGCGTGGTAGCTTGGAAGAAAAAGGTTGTGAAGCTCCTCAGTCCAGGCTTCCTGTGATTTGCGGAGCACCACAGTGCAAACATGCCATGTGCTCGCTTGAGGCGTTCACCGATGCGTCTTGATTCTGCTCGTTCAAAATCGAACGCCCCAAGTCTGCAAAGCCAAAGAACGGAGCCGGCCAGGTCGCGCCCCACACCCAGCTTGAATATATGGAAGCAATCGAGCTGAAACATTCTTTCTGGACAGCTGTTGTCGTAAGGCACGCCCGCAAAAACAGGTGGAATATTCGCATTCCATGGCCGCTCAGCAAACATAGACTGTGCCCAAGATGGTTCTGGTTGCACATCCTCGAAGCTATGTTCGCTGGTGCCGGCCTTGCACAAGGAACACATTCCATTCTGACCTTTCAGATGCGCGTAGCTCCTTGTCAGGTTGCCAACGGTGAAAGCCTGGAATTTGAAGTCTCCTTTGGACCCTACCAGCGCAGCGTAATGCGTACGGCCCTGAATCTGAATCCCATCCTCAAATAACTGTTTGAGATCATCCGATACTGCTTTCAGATGGTTTTTGATGATGTCAGGCCGGCCCTCATACAAGAACGCTGGCAACCCGAAGAGCAAGAAGCGGGTCAAAAAACTATGACCAGTGTAGTTGGTGGCAACCCGTTCCACGGCACACGCGTGGTTCGAATTACCAACTTCTTGCGGAAAACGCGGAAGCCACGCATGCGGAACACCTGCTTGGCCCCTGCAATTGCATTGTGTGTCTTTTTCAGACAGCTCAGACAATCCCAGCGGGGACTCGATGGTGGCCTCCATGAATTGCGATCGCTTTGGGCCCCGGCCCTCATCCCCAAAAAAAAGGAGTGGCCACACGCAATGTAGCTGGCCTGCATGTCGTGCATAAACTTCATGCGTTGGGTGCAGGTGACGGTATAAATCCCAAAAGCCAAGCAGTTGTTCCTCCACCGGGCTGTTTCCACCAGCAAGCAATTCGGGGTACTTGGCGATGAGCACCCGTAACCAGTCCACCAGTCTGACATGCGAAAGGGTCAGGGACTCCCCATCATCAAAGTTGTGCACCATGGAAGAAATTGGCATCGGCATGGACAGGCCCGCCCTCCGAAAAAAACGGTGCAAGTCCCTTTCAGCATTGGGGGCTTTCCGCAATTCCTCCTCATCGCCAGAACCCCCGGCCCTGCTCAGGCCGGCCGCAGTGGCCGAACGCTTGACGTTCTTCGCCACATCCTTGGTGTGTGAACGCATTGCCCATGAGACAGGCCCCAGGTTGCAAGTCAGATTGCTGCAATGATTCAACCAGGCAGTTGGCACAGGAACCGCCACATTAGTTGACCAAGGCGTGGGGAGCCCAAAGGCGAGCACTCCAAGGCCCGGGCTCCTTCTCCCAGTGTTTCTGCGAGATGGCGGACGTGCGGATCTTGTCCAGGGTCTGCTTGAACTTGGCCTGTTCGGGCATGAACACATCAGGAATGTATGTTTGGAAGCTGTGCGTGTGGTGATGCCACTTGTCAAGCCTGCAAGGCTCCAAACCCTTCAAAGCTCCAACCCTTTTTTGCCCTCACGCACGATGCGCCCCATCTATGAGTGCAGACATACCCACCCCTGTCTGGCGGGCGCACCAAAAGCGAAGGTAAAGCTTTTGTTCAGAATTAACTGCAACAATTCATGTCACATCGACGTGTTGAAATCACTTCCCAGCTTTCTTCTTGCTGGCAGGCCTCTTTCCGGCGCTCTCAGTGTCAGGAGCTGCCCGCTTTTTTGTGGCCGCCTGTTTTGGCACTGCCGCTTTCAGGGCGCTCCTTAAAATGGCAGGGTCCAAGCAAACAATGAGTTTCGGGGACGAGGTAAGAAATAAAACCTGGGCCCACGGCTTGCTTCGCTCATCAAGGCTCAAAGCCTCGATCGCCCTGCGCATGGGGCAGGTAGGAAGCAGGGATGCCACCCGCACAGTAATCCCTGAATCAGAAAAAGTAGCCAGCTACTTTTTGATGGTTCCGCCCATACATCTTTCTCCATAGACGCCAGGTTGGCCGTGACCACCGGGGTTTGCCACCAAAAGTTTGTTTAAGAACAAAAAGGTGCAGTAAAACAAATATCCAACGCGGTCACAGCTAAACTGCCATCGAAAAACCAAGCGAAAGCTGATAAAAATAACTTCTAACCGAAGCATTTTGTAACAGTGGTACCCCAAAATCCGCCAATCAGGGACCTCTTGTTGGGACCGTTCTTGGGCCAAAGACAACTCCCCCACACTGCCACCTTAGGATACTGGTCACGGCCGCAAAGCTAGAACGATGTAAATTGACTTTCTTGGGCAGGGGATGTTTAGTTCAGAAATGGACCCTGAGGGTTTTGTTTTGACCCGAGGAGAAATGTTGCAATCAAACGTTTTTGTTTTGACCCAAAAGACAAAACAGTGCAGCAAATGGCCCTTTTTTAGCCGAGGACGGGAAGTGTTGCAAGTAAACGGTTTTGCTCTGGAGGGTGCCAGGAACGCTTTTGCTTTCAACCCTGACAAGGAAGCGTTGCAAAAAAAAACAGTTCTGCTTTTTCTCCAAGGGATGGCCATTGCAGCAACTATTTCATTGTGAGGGTAGGGTCCGCAGGGTCCAAAAAGGGTCCACCCTCCCCCCCAAAACAGAAATGCCACAAAGCAGAGGCCTCCACAGGACTCCCACTCATGGCAATCCTTTGCCCTGAATGACTCCTTGAATCATCTTGAATCCCCAGGTTTGGGTTTAAAAATGCAAATCAATTGAGCTGGCAAATTGTGCTTTTCTTTTGTTGGGCATCTGGGCTGAACATAAACGGGCCAAACATTCCGCTCCAGGTTAGGCCTTGCAAGGGAGCGTTTTTCGGGTTAATGGGGTGGAAAAAACGTTGCAAGAAATTGCGTTGGCTTCAGGTTCTTTTCCAGACGGGGGGCCACAAAGGCCCAACAAATGGTCCACCCCCAAAGGTGCCGCAAATCAAGGGTCTCCCCAACACTGCCCATGGCAAACATGCCTGAAAATGACATGATGGATTCCAATTCGGCCCTTGTTTTCTGCCCAAACGACCCACACAAAGGGGGCAACAAGCAGAACAAGGTCCGACAAGCAGTTTTGGTATGTGTTTGTGGGTCGCTTGTGCAGAAAACAAGGCCCAACCTTTCGCATTGACCGGGGGAGAAGCACCGCCAGAAAACGGACTTGAACCCCAGGGATTTTGCACTCCAAGCAAATGGTTTCTTTTTGGCCGAGGGAATGAATACAGGAAGGCTGCAAGTAAACGGTTTTACTTTGACCAGGGAGGGCTAGGTGTTGCAATTAGAAGGCTTTGATCTGACTGGGGTGGTTTTGCTTTGACCAGGGGGGACCAAGCATTGCCAGTAAACCAAGCCCAGGCTTTCCCAAATCCATCCTTCCAAGGTGAAAAGCGTAGGTGGGGCTGGCTTTTGGAGGGGGCAGCAGTGGCCCTTAAGGTGAGTCGTCCGTTTGTTTGCATGAGGGCTTTGGGGTCTGAGGTACCAATTCACTGTGAGAACATCAAGCCGTAAACCCCAACAACAAAATGTTCTTACATTGAGCATGTAATGCACCTAGCCGTTTGTTTTTTCAAAGGGTGCCCTTGGTTAGCCCCAGGTTCTGGGGATCTTTAAAAATAAGGGGCCTCAAACCAATCGCGTGGCAATTGTATTCTCGATTCCTTTTTTGGGGGAGAGGTAACCCATTGCCAGCGCCCGTGGAAACTGAGGGTCAG